CGAGTCTTCGTAAATTGAAAAACAATTTAATACAAAAATACGTTTCCCATTATACTCCCTCCGTCCCATAAAGTGTTACTCATTTTGACTAAAGTAGAGATTAAGAGAGGGATAATTTTGTGTTGACTTTCCAAAAATACCCTTGATGTGATGGGTAAAAGTAGGATGTGATGTGTAGATTATTAGGAAAAAGGTATGATGTGATAGATAGAGTTTGAAAAAGTAAGGGGTAAAAGTGATTTTTTAATAGGAATGGGTAGGAGATTGTGGGACACAATTTTTTTTAAAAGGTGTAAATCTTTTTGGAACGGAGGGAGTAATTTTTTATAAATATAATATGCATGCATGCATACCAAGTGCAAGAGCTATCAACATGATGACACATAATCTGCTCATAAGAGTCCCACGATTGGAGCCAAAGCCACTCATATTTGATTCTTGTTGCCGATTCCTTCTTGATAATGGACGTGCCTAATTAATCTATGTAATGATAATTTATAGTGATATATCATGTGTCTCGCCCTTTATATAGTGTTAGAAAACTTATACTTCAGTTCTTATTTATTTTCATACGTGATAATATTAAAGTTTATTACCATATATAGATGTATACCTTTGATGAACATTAAAAATGTTCTTTATTTTGGCGGCCGCTAATTAATATGTGTAAATTAAACTCTTTCCCTTTTTAAAAAGTTCTTATGTGATTTTATTTAGTACCATATTTGTCCATTAATTATAATTGCTGGGATGAAACAAACATTTCAACATTTTAAAAATTTGGCCGCTATTACATATATAAGTACCATTAGTCCATTAGTGATTAAACTCCATCCATTTTTAAAAGATTTTATTCAGGCCCGGTGTGCAAGAGGTGCAATTGCCATGAACATTGTGCACCATCTCAAGAGAAAAAGTATCGATCTCAATTTGGACTTTTTCAACGTCTTCTAAATCCATTTGGAGATGATTGGCCGCAAATGAGTCCAATTGCATGCATGTGCTCGCTAGCGCGCCTAATTCCATTTCTACTTTGCTTTTGCAATTTTTTTCTTTGTTTAATTTTCTTTCTTTTTCTCATTTAATTTTTTAATTAATTAACGGCCAAAATGGAAAAAGTTTGAAATTCATCAACATATGATGGTTGTATCGGTAATATAATAAATACTTCCTCCGTCCCACAAAAAAGTTCTCATTTTGAATAGTATTTAGTCAAATATTTACACGCTTTGACTACAAATTGTGAGAAAAGTATATTGAATTATAAAATATATTTTATATAATTGGATTCATCTTAGGATCTAGTTTTGATATCTCAAATTTTTTTAGCATTTCTTTATTTAGATTATATTTAATTTATGGTCAAAGTGTACAACAATTTGACCAATTTATGGTCAAAATGGGAACTTTTTTATGGGACGAAGGTAGTAAAATAATAGCAAATGACTTTAATAATACTCCTTAAATATCATTATCACCACGTGTGAAAATGAATATAACCATTTTAACACTACTATACGGAGTATATAAGAAGGGAGGCAAATGCAGTAGTCATATATTTTTATACACGGAGAAGTAGTATAACACCAATCATATCAAGAAGCAACCAACATTATGAAGGCTTTATTTTACGGCTTTCGCTCCAATAATGGTGGGACGACTTTCATGATCCGTAACTTGTGTATCATTATGACCATAGCTCTGGCACTTTCTGGTATGTATATATCATTATATATATAACTAAGAAAGTGAACTAAAGTTTGACAAAAGATCTTATGGTATGTTTCCTTTGTACCTAAACCTAAAGTTTAGGCCTAAACCGAATTTAAGGTACAAACCCTTTGAATTCGTAAAACTTAAACCTAAACTTAGTTTAAGAAATGTAAGTTTTGTTTCGAATTAAACTTTAGGCACGTGGAGGGGAACAGTAAACTTTAAGTCTTAAAGTTTAAAACCTTAACTTTACGTAGTTAAGAAATGAAATGTTATTTGCCAAACACTACCTTAGATAATTTGGACACATGTGATTAATCGCAAATTTCATCACTTTTTTTTCTGGTGTGTTCTCTTTGAAAGGTCCAACAATGACTGCGAAGGGTCAAATATTCCCATGCAGTACCCACATATTTTGTGACGTAAATGCTGACTGCGTCATCCCATGCAAGGAACATGGCGGCGGACACTGCTATCATTTCAACAATGATCCATATGGTCTCTGTTGTTGCAGAATTAGGGAAGGACCAGAAATATAATGCAACGAGTACTAGTAGTAGAGAAAATAAAATTATGAATATATATAGGCCCCGTTTGGCATCAGCGTTAGCTATTAGCGTTAGCGTTTTGAAAAGGCTATCCGACGGTAGCCTTTAGAGTTAGCGTTTTCAGAATTAATCTACACCATTAAAATTTTATCCAAAACGCTAACGCTAATCAAAAACGCTGTTCCCAAACAAAGCCATAATGGAGCTGAGGAGGGCGATTAGTATAATAATATTCCCCTCATTATTGAATAAATAATTTTGTTCTAGATCGATATTTTAATTTTGTTCTACAAAAGTCGATCTCCGTTTGAATATGTAAGTTTTACTTTTTATTTCTAAATAGATTTGTAATAAATAGATACAATTTTTCACATTGTTCAGAATAGAACCATAATTTTGAGAAGGGAAGAGTATAAAAAGCATGATCGAGAGTGAAATTTTGAAATAAAGTAAAATTAAATAAAATACTATCAAAATTTTATTATATGAGTTTTTGAAAGCTAACTCCAAAAATAATCTACTCTCTTTAATCTCTTAAAAGTATAGAATCAAATATAATACTCTATTATATGAGAAACTTTTGACACTAATTAACTTGCACACTCCAAAGAGAAGTGTTAGCGAAATTCCACTTGGTGTACATCAAGGCATAAATAGATACACAAAGACATTTGTTCTCTAGGCATGCACAAACATTAAATATCTGTGTGCGCCCTTTTATGCCTTGGTGTAGACTTAGTGTACCTCAAGTAGGGTTACACTAAGTTTTTATCTTTTAGTTGCTACCATGTTTTATTTTCATTATTTCAGTAATGCCTTAACCATGTACTCCCTCGTCCTTTTTTTACTTGTTGCATAAAATATTTTAATTGTGCTTAAAAGAACACAATACGAACTACCATTTTGACATTTTCGAATATAATATATTTCAATTATCGTCATTTTACCTTGGTCAAACTTCTATATTTTCCGATAACAAAAGTCAAAACTAGAAAAGTTTTCTCGTATGGAGATAGTATTTTTTAAAAATCTAATGTAGTTTAGGTTTTTTTAATTTAATTATTACTTTCTTTAAAACATGTCAATTTTTTTACTTTCATATTTTGCTTGTCCTATAAAACATTTTAATTTGGACTGAATCACTAAATGGGCACAATTATCCTCACTTTTCTTAAATTTAACTCAACATATCTCAACTAACTTCTACGCCCTATCTATTTTGACATTTTCTTATTCCTAATCTTTTCAATTGTCTTTGATATTTGAGACTCATGTTTCTACGATGTTGACATATGTTATCTTACATGATAAATTTTAAATGACATGACATAAAATAAATAAATTACATGACATGCTTAAAATGCTCATTCAGCATTTGTGAAAAAATTATTTATGATTGCCTTTAAAATTTAATGAGTTAAAAAATATATATTTTATATTAAAAATTATGAACTTTTGAACTTATTGAGAATTATGTAAATGAAATAAAACTTATAAATTTTCAATAATAATTAAATGAATTATTCATAAAAAAGAAATTAATCATGATTAGTATGCATCTTTTTCATAAAAGTACAGTGTATTAAAAGTCTTTTAAGTAAAATAAAAGTTTTTTAAAAACTATTAGTCTATTCTTTTGTATGAAAATTTATTGAGTTAAAATATAGCTCATCTTTTATCACCTAATTAAATATGAAAAATGTATTAAAGAAAATAAGTGCTTTATGGTTCTTTTTTTTGCAAGAAGTGCTTTATGGTTCTTAATAGTATATATATTCAATAATTTAAATAAGAGAAACTTTATGATTCAATGTATTCCATAACTTTTTTTAATAATTATAATTTCTTTAGATATATAACAAGGAATATAAAAAATCTATTGAGATTTAAATTTTGTTATGAAATTTCTTTAGATTATAGGGTGGGGTTCCCATGACATTGCCTCCCAATGTCATGGGATGACCCGGGGCGCTCCGGTGCCCCGTTCGTAAAATGGACGGTTCCTAGCCCCTCTAACCCCCGGTAAATCCCCCCACCCTGCCCCGACCCGAACACGCCCCCTACTCCCGTCAATTGCACCCCACAAGTTGATTTTGACTTTGGAGTCAAACCGAATACCAATCGGTCTGGACCGAGGGACCTATATAAACCTATTTAAATTTCATAATTGGTCCTTTATAATAGAGAGGTTTCCATATTTAGTTCTCTATTATCAAATATTACCCCCGTAGTCCTTTTTTTAAGGGTACTTTTCCACAAATGGTCCTTTTTTGATCTTCTGCCATGTTGTTGTTAATTTAAAGGCTAAAAATATAATTTGATGTCAACATTATGTCTAGTGACGTGTTCTAGTATTGGTTATGCGGATAACACAAAAATAATGACTATGATTGTGGGCTAGGATTCTGACAAAAGATCACATTTGTAGACTATAGTTGTCGTAAAAAACGACTGTAATTCCCAAACGACGCAAACGGAACAACCTTTGGAATTGTGTATGACAAAAAAGATACAGTATATTATTATTGTGAAATTACACTTTTAACCCTCAAATTAACACCAACATGATAGGAGATCAATAAAAGGACTATTTGTGGAAAGGTACCCATAAAAAAAGGACCAATTGGGTAATATTTGATAATAGAGGACTAAATAGGGAAACCTCCATGTTATAAAACCTCCATGATAATAATAGAGGACTAAATAGGGAAACAAATTATAGAATTTATTCGCTTAGCACTAAACCCGTAACCCTATCTTATTTTCTTCGCCTGCCACAAGCCCACAAATCGCCGTCTCCCTCACTTCTCTGTCTCGTTAACGTCGTCCCTCTCTCTGCCATCTCCGCCTAAATTGCAAATCGAATCGGCGCCGCCTTCTATGCCATCTACCCTCCTCACAGACTGAAACATCGTCTCCCTCACCACCGCATCTCACTCATCGCGCAAATCGTCGTGTCCATCTCAGGCGCAAATCGTTGTCTCCCTCTCCGTCGTTTGTCATTCCTTGAATTCCCACCTTCTCCATCATCTGTCAGTCCACTATCGTCTCTCTTTCTCTCTTTGGACTCAAACACTGGCACAACGCAGGTAATTTTCAATTTACTTATTAATTAACCTCCAAATTTTTAAAAGGATTCTTCTTCTTTTTAAAGGATCCTAGAATTTTGTTTAATTTGTTTATATTTCTGCACTTCTATGGTCTGGTTTTTTTTATATATTCTTCTTCTTTTGCAAAGTGATTTATATACGGAGTATTGTTTTCTTCTGTCTTACATTTGATCTCATTCGATCTTTGGTCCGGTCCGGGTCACAGGCGGTCTGGAAATAGGACATCGAACGGCGATTCCAGAAAGGGATATGGAGGCACCGAACGTCATTCGTAAGAATCCATGGGAATCCCAGGCCTCTCCGTTTCCGACATCGAACGGCCTTCGCAGGAATATATTTGAACCCCAGGTATGGCCGCTTCCTTTTCTTCTTCTTCCTCTTATCGGCAAAACTGTATAGGAATAAATTGTTGTGATTCCTTTTTACTCTTATCGGGTCTGTGTTAGTAATCACAGTCGTTTGATTGTCTGGCTGTGAACGCTATTTAGCTTAACCATTCTTATTTAGATATTAAAAAAATGCTGAAAACCCCTCACTTCTATTCCCAGTTCTCAAAGTATCCCAGTGTTTTCAAGACTTCTGCAACCACATCCATCTCTATCTCTAACTTATTTCAGGATTGTAATGTACCCCTCGATTCACCATATTTCCGCCCGTTTAAACACCCTCTAAAGAGTAAACGGCTCAGGAGCCGGATGTGGATAACACAGGTGGTTCATCTACCAAAAAAGGTACGCATTTCCATGCCCTACACACTACACACACAATTCAACAATCCTTGCACGTTTTGTGTATGCATATTCCATATCCATCTTGTATATGCAAGTCCACACACACACATCTTATGGGTTCCTTCTAAAAGTTTTACACTTGTCTCCCTCAAATGTTACCTTTTGTGCTTGCCAAACACTAGTTCAGTTTATTGGTGAATGATCATGAAAATTGTATATAGTGGATTGTCTTTAGGATGTTGATCCCCATAAAGGATGATGAAGACATTAATATATATAGATAGAGTTAATTTGTATTTACATTAGTGTGTGTGTGTGTGTATAGAGAGAGAGAGAGAGTAAATTTGGAAATCCATGTATGTAGAGTAAATTTGTATAGAGTAAATTTATGTGTGTGTGATCACACACACACACACACTTGATTTTGAAAATAATCACAACGGTCCCAACTTTTTTTATGCACAAACATACACACACATCACACATGACTATCTTTTAATACGTATAAGCTTTACTTAAACATAATCAAAGATTTTAATGATTTAATTTGTGCATCGGAAAATGTGAAAGGGCAAGTGCTGTGATGCTTTTCCCAACGGATTAAATATTTTTTCCTTACTGTCTAATAGGTTCATTTGTTTCAAGATTTATAAAACTTTCTAAAATTCAAATGTTATCTTTCGTATCTCGGAAAGACTAATTTGGTTTATCTGTTGGTGATCGTGGAAAATGTCTAGGGTGGATTATTTTCAGGATGATGATTCCCGCACCGGCTGATGGTTGTATTGATCGTTACAATAATGTGCTGAAGCAATATTTTGAGAAGGACAACGTTGGTGTGGACTTCTATGAAGCTGGAATTGGATTTGGAATTGTAAGTAAAACCAGAATATTAACTGTCAATTTTTTTTATGTTTCATTTTTGTTTTATTAAATTGCTTATGCTTGGGTGTTAAGGTGGGGTTAGACTTGTTTGATTGGTCTCTTAGATTATGTCTATTTTTATTCTCTATAATGACTGAATTTATTCTCTATAATGACTGTGTTTTCCTGTTATGATTCCTCTTGATTTGTTTCTACATTTCTTGAATTCTTACCATAATACATATGGGTGTAAATGCATACATCGAATGTTGCTTTAGTGATTTTTCTTTAAAAAAATGGGTGTAAACATTGTTTTGGCCTAGTATGAACTGCAGTGCTTTTTTGTCTTGGGGACGGAATGTGGGGGTGGAATTTCTGTCGTGAAGCTATCTAGCTAGTCCTTCTGATGTACCCCCTCCATGTCTTGATCTTCATTTTGTTTTATTTTTCTCCATTCCCTGCCTTCCTCCTTTTTTTTAATGCATGGGCGGGTTTCAATCAAATCTCATGCCAAAGCTTGCCATCTCAAAGAGTTGGTGACTTGGTGTTTTTTTGCACGGTCTTATGTATGTTTCAAGCTCTAAATGTCCTGCATATGCTCTCATTATTGCATGATTTTTATTTTCCTGTTTTTATGGAGGAGTTATCTGGTTGTGGGCATGTATGAACTCAATTTTCTCTGATGCTTTATTAGTTGAATTCTGTTATTATTGAACTCACTTTGCGCTAGTGGAAGTAGAATGATCATTTTTATTATCGGAGTTTAGGTTGTGTGTGATGCATTTTAAACTTGATCATAGGTAATGGTATCGGCCAAAGAAGACTCTTCGTGGTCTAAAACAAATGCTGTGCATGTTTTCCACAATATTTACGTTACGTTCTTGCTCCGTATGAGTTGTTTGAAGAGGCGGTATTTGATAAGGCTACTTGTACCAGCTGCACATACAAAAAAGTTGATTGTTCTCCAGACAATCAACTCCCATTCACGCAAACCTGTTATCTATCTAACAGGTATGTAATACATACATTTGGTGTGTTCTTTATTTTTATTCCATTAATAACTTTGTTAATTACTCCCTCTGCCCCACTTATTTTGGGACACGGGGGAGTGGCACAAGAATTAACAAGGTAGATATTGATGGTTGTTTACTATCTCATATTGTTAATTGTTGGCATAATCTTTTGCAGATAACGTTCCATTTTTATCCTCTGGTGATGTAATCGTTGAGGTGGAAGAGGATCGTCTACACATAGATGAGATGATGCAATCAGTTTACTCTAATCTGGGAGAGTTTAAGGTTCATGAGAGCATGGTCTCTGAACTCAAAGCTACAGTAAGATCAATTTCAAAAGTCGATGCATAATGGATTCTACTTAGTTGAATGGGTTGATTTTTCTTTCTTATTATATTATTACTACGTATTATTATTATTATTATTTATTACAAAGTATTTTTTTCTTCTAAATTATTATTGTTAATATTATGAAGTAATATTATCTTCTTATTCTATTATTATTATTATTATTATTAAAAATTAATTTATAGTTTCACTGTAAAATTGAAGGTGCTCGACAGTTCTAAGCACAGACTTAAGGGTACCAAACAATATTTTTTTTACATTAATATAGATTGTGAAAGATTAATGGAGTATCCAATTTTTTGGTGGGAGCTTTAGGTTTTTTTGTTAAAAATATAGTAGTAAAACAACTAAATAATAATAATAATAATAAGCATAAGAATAATAATAATAATAATAATAATGGTGATAATAATAATAATAATAATAATAATAATAATAATAATAATAAAATAATAAGAGAAAGAGAAGAATGAGAAATAAGGGTGAGTGGTGGGGGTCTAGAAGAATAAGAATAACAATAATAATAATGGTAATAATAATAATAAAATTAATAATAATAATAATAATAATAATAATAAGAAGAAGAAGAAGAAGAAGAAGAAGAAGAAGAAGAATGAGAAATAAGGATGAGTGGTGGGGGGTCTAGCGGGTGTGGAAAAGAGGGGGAGGAGGATGAGAAGAAGAAGAAGAAGAAGAAGAAGAAGAAAGAAAAATAAAAAAAAGGAAAAAAAGAAGAGGAAGAACGAAGGAATGAGGATGGTGGTGGTGTAATAATGATGATAATGATGGAGGATGGATGATGATGATGATGCATTAATGTAACGGAGAAATGGGGAAAGACCGAAAGGGGAGGGAAAATCTCCTCTTAGTATATTTTTTCAAAATCTAGGGTACCTGAGAGTATATTTTGAAAAATATAAGTACCCTAGCAGTTCTTATAAAACATGAGAATTAGGGCAAATAAATCGACACGGCTTCCCGGTCACAGGTCTGGAAATTGGACATCGAACGGCGATTCCAGAAAGGGATATGGAGGCACCGAACGTCATTCATAAGAATCAATGCGAATCCCAGGTATGTCCGTTTCCGACAACGAACGGCCTTCACATGAGTGTATTTGAATCCCAGGTATGGCCGCTTCCTTTTTTTCTTCTTCTTCTTCCTCTTATCGGCAAAACTGTATAGGAATAAATTGTTGTGATTCCTTTTTACTCTTATCGGGTCTGTGTTAGTAATCACAGTTGTTTGATTGTCTGGCTGTGAACGCTGGACTCGCCCGCCCCTCAACAAGTTGTTTCATATATTTTCCGTGATGCACAGTCGTTTGGTTCAAGTTCAATTGTAGAGTAGAATTTGATTTAACACTGCATTTTTTTATGAATGCTATTTAGCTTAACCATTCTTATTTAGATATAAAAAAATGCTGAAAACCCCCACTTCTATTCCCAGTTCTCAAAGTATATCAGTGTTTTCAAGACTTCTGCAACCACATCCATCTCTATTTGTAACTTATTTCAGGATTGTTTTCTACCCTTCGAGCTAACATATTTCCGCCAGTTGGAACGCCCTCTAAAGAGAAAACGGCTCCAGGAGCCGGTTGTGGATAATACAGGTGGTTCATCTACCAAAAAAGGTACGCATTTCCATGCCCTACACACTACACACACACAATTCAACAATCCTTGCACGTTTTGTGTATGCATTTTTCCATATCCATCTTGTATATGCAAGTCCACACACACACATCTTATGGGTTCCTTCTAAAAGTTTTACACTTGTCTCCCTCAAATGTTACCTTTTGTGCCTGCCAAACACTAGTTCAGTTTATTGGTGAATGGTCATGAAAATTATATAGAGTGGATTGTCTTTAGGATGTTGATCGCCATAAAGGATGATGAAGACATATACATATATAGATAGAGTATTAGTGTGTGTGTGTGTGTGTGTGTATATATATATATATACATACACACAGATATATATATATATATATATATATAGTAAATTTGGAAATCCACTTATATAGAGTAAATTTGTATAGAGTAAATTTATGTGTGTGTGTGTGTCTGGGCGCGCGTAATCTCACACACACACACACACACTTGATTTCATAATAATCACAACGGTCCCAACTTTTTTTATTCACAAACATACACACACATGACTATCTTTTATAAGCCTTACTTAAACATAATCAAAGATTTTAATGATTTAATTTGTGCATCAGAAAATGTGAAAGGGCAAGTGCTGTGATGCTTTTCCCAACAGATTAAATATTTTTTCCTTACTGTCTCTAATAGGTTCATTTGTTTCCAGATTTATAAAACTTTGTAAACTTCAAATGTTATTTTTCTTATCTCGGAAAGACTAATTCGGCTTATTTGTTGGTGATCGTGGAAAATGTCTAGGGTGGATTATTTTCAGGATGATGATTCCCGCACCAAGTGATGGTTGTATTGATCGTTACAATAATGTGCTGAAGCAATATTTTGAGAAGGACAACATTGGTGTTGACTTCTATGAAGCTGGAACTGGAATTGGAATTGTAAGTAAAACCAGAATTTTATCTGTAATTTTTTTTATTGTTTCATTCTTGTTTTATTAAATTGCTTATGCTTGGGTGTTAAGGTGGGGTTAGACTTGTTTGATTGGTCTCTCAGATAATGGCTATTTTTATTCTCTATAACGACTGTATTTATTCTCTATAATGACTGTGTTTTCCTGTTATGATTCCTCTTGATTTGTTTCTACATTTCTTGAATTCTTACCGGAATACTTAGGGGTGTAAATGCATACATAGAATGCTGCATCAGTGATTTTTCTTTAAAAAATGGGTGTAAATATTGTTTTGGCCTAGTATGAACTGCAGTGTTTTTTTGTCTTTGGGACGGAATGTGGGAGTGGAATTTCTGTCGTGAAGCTATCTACCCCCTCCATGTCTTGATCTTCATTTTGTTTTATTTTTCTCCATTCCCTGCCTCCCTCCTTTTTTTTTAATGCATGGGCGGGTTTCAATCAAATCTCATGCCAAAGCTTGCCATCTCAAAGAGTTGGTGACTTGGTGTTTTTTTGCACGGTCTTATGTATGTTTCAAGCTCTAAATGTCCCCGCATATGGTCTCATTATTGCATGATTTTTATTTTCCTGTCTTTATGGAGGAATTATTTGGTTGTGGGCATGTATGAACTCAATTTTCTCTGATGCTTTATTAGTTGAATTCTGTTGTTATTGAACTCACTTTGTGCTAGTGGAAGTAGAATGATCATTTTTATTATCGGAGTTTAGGTTGTGTGTGATGCATTTTAAATTTGAGCATAGGTAATGGTATCGGCCAAAGAAGACTCTTGGCGGTCTAAAACAAATGCTGTGCATGTTTTCCACGCGATTTACGATATGTTCTTGCTCCGTATGAGTTGTTTGAAGGGGCGGTATTTGATAAGGCTACTTGTACCAGCTGCAAATACAAAAAAGTTGATTGTTCTCCAGACAATCAACTCCCATTCTTGCAAACCTGTTATCTATCTAACAGGTATGCATACATACACCTGGCGTGTTCTTTATTTTTATGCCATTAATAACTTTGTTAATTACTCCCTCTGCCCCACTTATTTTGGGACATGGGGGAGTGGCACAAGAATTAACAAGGTAGACATTGATGGTTTACTATCTCATATTCTTAATTGTTGGCATAATCTTTTGCAGATAACGTTCCATTTTTATCCTCTGGTGATGTAATTCTTGAGGTGGAAGAGGATCGTCGACACATAGATGAGATTATGCTATCAGTTTACTCTGATCTCAGAGAGTTTAGGGTTGATGAGAGCATGGTCTCTGAACTCAAAGCTACCGTAAGATCAATTTCTAAAGTCTATACATAATGGTTTCTACTTGGTTGAATGGGTTAATTTTTCTTTCATTTACTCATTCATGTTCTTTGCAGAATGGTATTCACCTGTCAAATCGTGTAATGTCTGCACGTGGTTCTGGGATGAAACTACGAAGAAATTGTGGGGTATGGAAAACACTGTAAAATCTACTCTCTTTCTTGCAAGGCTGTCTTGCAATATACTGTATATATGTCTGATTGACCTAAAAGTTTGCCCATTTTGCAGGTTTTGGCGTCCAAACCAATACCCTTGTCGTATATTGATCTTATCATTGGTGAAGATGGTGCAAATGTTGAAAACATACGGAAATCAAGTCCCGCCTCCGTGTACTTGAAGCCGTTAACCCTTAAAGAGGTGACTATTTGTATTGATGGTGAATCGCATGATGAGGTTGAAGCTGCTAAGAATGCGATGGAGGTTTTGCTGTGGAAGACATTATTATTTGATACATGTATTTGTGGTTATCATTATCGTATCGTTTTCCTCTAGGTTGCTCTACTCATGAGGATGTCATGAGGTCTATAGAATGCCAACACATGTTTTGCGACTTTAGTTGACGCGGAGAGTTATTTGTTTGTTTGTTTGTTTGCAGAATTTGATTCCGGAGGACCGAAAGAAAGATTGAAAACGCGTTTTCGAGGAAATGGTTACGAATTGGCGTCGGGTTTCAGCTAAAGAGATCATTTAGGTAGCCTTATATAACAAGTTGAGAAATGGCTCCTTTGTGGTAGAATAGAGTCTCTTTTTTTTACCCCATATCTTCTTGAGTGATTAAATTGTATATTTTGTTTTATTAGGAGGTGCAATTTATCTTGGGTACTGAATACGATTGAAGAGGTAGTTAGAGTATGTTTTAGGAACAATTTCAGGAGTTTACTCTTCTCAAAATTATCGAATATCATAACACATTAAAAGAAGATAATTTTTGGACATATTAAAACCAAATTGAGGAGAGTAATTACAGAGAGTAATTTTGATGAGAGTAAGCTCCTGAAATTGTTTCCAAAACATACCCTAACTACCTCTTCAATTGTATTCAATACTCAAGATAAATTGCACCCCCTAATAAAACAAAATATGCAGTTTAATCACTCAAGAAGTTATGGGGTAAATAAAAGAGACTATTCTACCACAAAGGAGCCATTTCTCAACTTGTTATATAACGCTACCCAAATGATCTCTTTAGCTGAAACCCAACGCCTTTTCGTAACCATTTCCTCAAAAACGCGTTTTCCATCTTTCTTTTGATCCTCCGGAATCAAATTCTGCAAACAAACAAACAACTCTCCACGTCAACTAAAGTCGCAAATCATGTGTTCTAATTCTATATATCTCATGCCATCCTCATGAGTAGAGCAACTTTGAGAAAAACGATACGATAATGATAACCACAAATACTTGTATCAAATAATAATGTCTTCCACAGCTATACCTCCATCGCATTCTTAGCAGCTTCAACCTCGTCATGCGATTCACCATCAATACAAATAGTCACCTCTTTAAGGGTTAACGGCTTCAAGTACACGGAGGCGGGACTTGATTTCCGTATGTTTTCAACATTTGCACCATCTTCACCAATGATAAGATCAATATACGACAAGGGAGTAATTACTATGTCCAAAAATTATCTTCTTTTGATGTGTTATGATATTTGATTAAAATTATTTTTCAAATCATTTTATATAAAAAATCGTGTCAGATCTAAAAATAAAAAAATTTCATATTGGTATTTTTAAAACATCAAAAGAATTACCAAATTAAATAAAATGACTTATTTATCAAATGGATAATAAAAATAGACAAATAATATATAAAGTTTGATTATGTGAATAATAAAATAAATTTTATGGTAATTTTATTTAAGTAACTTTTAAATGAATTTTAAGAAAGTCGTAGTACAGGTAATCTTTCTCAAAATGCCATGATTTCAAATTTCTTACAGCCATTTCTTCTATGTTCCCAATGTTACATAATATCGAATTTTAAAATTCATCCAAGCAGACCTTTAGTGAGTTGGTTATTTTTATGGTTTTTAATACTCCCCCGTCCGGAAATAATCTTTCTATTTCTCCTTTTTCTCCGTCCGGAAATAATCTTTCCATTTCAATTTTTTATACACTAACTACCCAAAATACCCCCACTTACCAATATTCACTCTCTCCTCTCTCCCTTTCTCTCTCCTCTCTTTCTCTCCTTCCTCATCTTTTTCTTCTTCTTTTCTTCTCTCCACATTTGTTACCCCAGATCTGTTAATTTTGCCTCTTTTTCTTCTTCTTCTTCTCTCCCAGTTCTTCCTCGCCCCCAAATCTGTTCCTTCTCCTCCTCCTCTTTCTCGTCCTCCTTTTTTCCTTCAGATCCATTCCTCCTTCTTTTCCACCGATTCTTTCTCATTTCTCTTTTCTTTCCCCAAATCAATTCATCTTCTTTCTTCCTCTTCATATTCTTTTTTTTCTCCTATTTGTTTGCCTTCTAAATCTGTACGTTCTCGGAAGATTAAGGGGAGATGGTGGGGGCAGCGAAGATTGTGGGGGGGGGGGTCGACGGTACTTTTGGCCTGCTGTAGCGGTGGGATTGACAGAGCAAGGGGCGGGGTAGTGGGTGCTGACAATTATTGGGAGAAGGGTGTTTTGGACATTTCCATTCTAAAGTCAACACTTCAAAAAAATGGGAAAAAGTTCAAATGGGAAGTTTAATATCGGACAGAGGGAATAGAAAATATATACTTTAAGTTTGTTGGTGGACGTGAAACAATTGACCAAAGTAAGGAATGTCATGGAGATAAGATTCGAGTTCGATTCCCGACAATTGTGTTGGTGGCAACTATGCCAAGCATACGATTTTTAGAAATGCCAGTGTCTAGCTATTCTACGCCATTTTAGAAGGTTTGTCGGGGCACCATGAACGTAAGGTGGAGAAGATGTGACATCCCAATCCGCAACCCGAATCAACGAGATAGCGAATCGAGTTGCTACTAATTCGGTATTTACATCTACAATATTTTAAAAAATATTTAAAATAAAACATCCAATCATGTTTATTTAAAAACAAACATAGTTTAATTGGAATAACATAATCAATTTTTGCGGAAGCCTTTAACAACGAGATCATCAAAAGCATTCTCGCAGTTTAGATAATAAAGTCAATAAAACATTTAATTCAATTTCAATCAACTTCGGACCATCCACGCTGCTTCACATCCAAAAAAAATCAATTTTTAGAAAAATGAAAAACCAAACCAAATTATTTGATTCAGTTTCAAAGCACGTAAATTTCTAGGCTGGGTCGTAAAACTAGGCAAATAGATCCACAGTGTTTCCCGCTCACAGGTCTGGAAATCGGAATCAGGCATTCAGCGATCTGAAAGAAAGAGATATGGAGGCATCGAACAGCATTCGTGTATGAATTCATGGGAATCCCAGGTATGGCCGCTTCCTTTTTTTTCTTCTTCTTCTTCCTCTTATCTGCAAAACTGTACATGAATAAATTGTTGTTATTCCTTTTTACTCTTATCGGCTCTGTTAACAATCATAGTCGTTTGGTTGTCTCGCTGTGTACGCTGGAGTCTTACGCCCCTCAACAAATTGTTTCATATATTTTCCGTGATGCACAGTCGTTTGATTCAAATTGTAGAGTAGAATGTGATTCAACATTGGATTTGTTTAATGAATGCTCTCTATCTCAACCATTCTTATTCCCACCCTATGATTAGAGATATAAAATTCTGAAAACCCCCATTTATTTTCAAGTATATCAGTATACTTGAGGGAGAAGTACACTACTTTGCTTTTTTCCATTTTATTTCAATTATCAGTGGTTTCTTTGTGGGATGGTTTATGTGTATTCAAGACTTCTGCAACCACATTTTTCTCTATCTCTAACTTATTGCAGTGAAGTTTGTCCATGGAGCTTCCCCCCGAACAAACGCATTCGTCCCAGTTGCTACACTCTCAAAAGAGAAAATTGCTCCCGGAGGTGGATGTGGATGATACAGACGGTTCATCTACCAAAAAGGGAAAAGCGCTGCGTGAGTTGAATGTGGCAGCACAGGGTACGCATTTCCATGCTTTACACATTCACACACACCTGAAAATCTGAAATTCAACAATCCTTGTACTTTTATGCATGCGATTCTTGAGTCAGTCATTTGGGTTTGGAGATGATGATAACATGGTGTCAGAATTCAAAGCTGGAGTAAGAAATGATGAACAAACACCTAAAATATATCTCTTACTCTGTTTTAGCACGAAACGATTTCACATCACTATGCAATTTATGATGGATGTCTATATATTACTAACTTTATATCCTATTTGTAGATTTATTAATATAAATGGAGAGAATATATATATATATATATATATATATATATATATATATATATATATAGTGGGATAATCCTTTTTTGTTGTTGGAGAGAGAATTTATACCGATTTGTTGTTGTGTGCATGTATGTATTTACATATCCTTTTCATGCATGTTCCTGTGCATCTGAAATAATCATGATACAATATTAAGCATATTTTGTGGGAGCTAGGTTCTCTTAGCTTTGAAGCCTTGCTCTATCCATATAGAAGTACGATTTCGGGGGAAAAGCTTCTCTCATTATCCCATTGATTCTTCTTGCTTTGCTTCTCTTTTTTTCTATGATGTCCTAATACTCCACTCAATTTCCTAAGCAAGAATATATTATGAGGAATGATAGTGACATGGATAGGTAAGGCATTTGATTGTGAAATTTACCAACATGCCCTTACAAATTCAGCATAAATACTACCCCTGTCCCATAAGAATTCACTTTTTCCTTTTTCGCCTGTCTAAATAACTTTATTCTAAGGATAGGAGTATGTGGCTCATAAAACCTTTTCACTTTTCACCACTATTTTTAAGCTGCATGAAAGTCAGACCTAAGATTTTTATGAGACGGAGGTAGTAGTAACCACGTAGGGATATAATGGTAAGTTCCACTCATTTTCTAAACAAATGCAGAGTACTTCATCCCTGCCCAAATTATTTTTTAAATATATTTTGCTAAACTATCTTCCAAAAACATTGATTCAGCACCACTAGCTCTCAACTACATATCATTATGAATTTGAGTACAGATCATCAAAACTGCGGGGAGCAAGGCTTTTAGTACACAAAGAACTACTCCTATATATGCGTTTCATTACCACTTCAATCATCGACCTCAAAACATTATCTATGGTCATGTTCTTAATTGAGCCTTGGCACGTAAATATATAGAGTATACTATCATTGTTTTGATTAATATCCGTGCGAGTGGGTTTTATCTTTTTGTTCAAAATCTATCAATAGTCTCTATTTTTTGAGTTTTTTTGTTGTTGCATTCTTAGAACACTATCAGTGCACATCTCCAAACTCTGGATATCATATTGACCATGGATCATATCATCATACTCAAAACGGCCCATGTTCATCAACTCCATGTGGCTGAGATGCGTATGCTTCGGTGGATGTGTGAGCAAATGAGGTTTGATATGCTTTGGTGGATGTGTCAGCAAATGATGGGTGAAAGGGTGAAGTAGCACTATGGATGTGGAGGATAAGCTACGAGAGAGTAGGTTGAGATGATTCAGTCACGTGAAGCAGCATGAACAAGAGGCCCTAGTGCGGAGATGTGAAAGGCTTTCGATAGTAGGTGGTATTAGGGAAAGGGGTAAACCTAGAAAGAATTGGTAGGAAGTTATTAAGCAGGACTTAGGACTTCTTGTTCTCACCAAGGATATGACTTTAGATCGAAACATTTGGAGATCTAGAACTAGGCTTGTTGGTTAGCCATTTTGTCCGGGGCGGTAGTTGTATTCTCTTCGTTGTGTGCTTTGTAAGCTTGAGGTCTTTCTTTTTACATCTTTTTAAGTGCCTTTTATTTTACCGCGCTTTTCTTCGCTTTTTGTTTGTTCCTTGGGCTCTTGTTGTTTTGTGCTTTTCTTACACACACACACACATACACACACACACACATCCTCAATTTCAAAATAATCACAACGGGCTGAACTGCATGTTATTCACAAACACACACACCTGACTATCTTTTATATTTTACTTAAACATAACTGAATATATTAATGCTTTAATCTGTCCATGGGCAAATGTGAAAGATCAAGTCTTGTGATTCTGTTACAACAGATGGAGTTTTTTTTCTTATTTCCATTATTTGGTTCATTTGTTTCAAGATTTATAAACTTTGTAAACTTCAAATGTTATCTTTCTTATCTCGGAAAACACTAATTTGGTTTTTTTGTTGGTGATCGTGAAAATTTTCTAGGGTGGATTATTTTCAGGATGATGATTCCTGCAGAGGGAGGGTTGTATTGATCATTACAATCTTATGCTGAAGCCATCTTATGAGAAGGACAATGTTGACGTTGATTTCTATGAAGCTGGAGATGGAATTGGAATTGTAAGTAAAATTAGAATTTTATCTGTCATCATTTTGTGTTTCATTCTTGTCTTTTGATTTTTTTATGCTTGGGTGTTGACGTGTGATTAATGTGTTTGGTTTTCTCTCAGATATTGTCTATTTTAATTCTCTATAATGACTGTATTTAGAAAGCAAGAGTTTATAGATCTGAGTGATGTCTGATTTTCATTTGTTCTATTATGTTTGATTGGCATATTTTCTTGTCACTCTTGTTCTCTCTCTTTTTTGAGTGCCTAGGAACTTACAAGAGTTTTAATTTATAGATTTGTGATATGTTTCCCTTTTATGATTCCTCTTGATTTGATTCTACATTTCTTGAATTCTTACTGGAATAATTAGGAAGGATGGGTCAAACAGCCTTTTGACTCTTATCCTTGATGTCAATTGAGTGATCATGACAGCCGACTACTTCTGGCAAGTTGATGACCTAATATAGGTCATTTTGATGACTTGGTGGAAATATACATGTGTGTATTTTTAAATAAGTTTCTTTTGAAAATGTAGCTAAAGGAGTCGTTTCTGACCATGTTTCAGCCTCAAATCACTTTTGACGTAGGCAATCTTTTATTGTACACCTCGGGCTTAGTTTCTGACAATACCATTTTCTCTAGGGTGTAAATGCATATGTAGAATGTGGCATCAGTGATTTTTCTTATTGGTTGTGAATATTGTTTTGGCCTAGCTGCAGTGCATTTTTGTCATGGGGTGGGAATGTGAGTGGATTTTCTGTTGTGAAGCTATCAAGCTAATAGTTCCGATGCACCCCTCCATGTCTTGATCTTCACTTAGTGCTAGTTGAAGTAGAATGATCATTTTTAGTATTAGAGTTCAGGTTTTGTGTGATGCATTTTAAACTTGAGCATAGGTGATGGTATCGGCCAAAGAAGACTCTAGGCGCTCCGCAACTCATGCTGTGCGTGTTATTTGCACGCTTTACTCCTCGTTCTTGCTCCAGATGCCTTTTAAGGGGAGGTATTTGATAAGACTACTTGTACCAGCTGCACATACAAAAAGGTTGATTATTCTCCAGACAATCAACTCCCATTCATGCAAACCTGTTATCTATCTAACAGGTATGCAATACATACCTGGTGTGTTCTTTATTTTTATGCTATTTTAAACTTTGTTAATTACTCCCTCTTGCCACAATTAACAAGGTAGAATTGTGTGGTTGATATTGATGTTTAATTATCTCTCAAATTCTTAATAGCTGGCATAGTCTTTTGCAGATAATGTTTCATTTTTATCTTTGGGTGATGTGATCGTTGAGGTGGAAGGGTATTGTCGACACATAGATGAGGCAATGCGATCAGTTTATTCTGATCTGGGAGAGTTTAGGGTTGATGAGAGCATGGTCTGTGAACTTAAAGCTAACGTAAGATCAATTTCAAAAGTCTATACATAATAGATTCACTTAGTTGATCGATTAATTTTTCTTGCATGTACTCATTCATGTTTTTTGAAGCACACAGAATGGCATTCATCCATCTGCACATGGGTGTGGTTCTGGGGTTAGATTTCAAAGAGCTTCTGAGGTAAGCCCCCGCCCCGTGTTGCAAAGAGGCTTGGATGTGTGTTTTGATTTAGGAAGATCCAGAAAAATTATATGGAAAGAAGTTGGAGTTTGTATATATTGAGCAAGAATAAGAAGTGATAAGTGATATTAGTGGTAAAAGACATGGTCACAGCCTATTAATAAGGTTAGCTCCATATATAGATATTTACAGTGAGAATGAACCACCTATGTTTTGTTGACGTTGTGATTTAAAACTATTATAGAACAGGCGACGAGGTTTTACATAGACGTCGTCAGAAGTCAGAAGGTATAGGGGAAGAATACGTGAAACTATAAAGAACAATCGTTATGAGTAGTATATTAACGTTTCTCCGTTTAAGCTATCAATGGTATTTGGTAAATCCACCCAATCAGCACTCCTAGCCCAAATATCCCTAGTGTAATGGCAATCCCAAAACGAATTATCAGTGTTTTTTTCCTCTTGATCACAAAGAACACACATCAGGTCAATGTTTAAAAATTTACCGAGTCTAGTCTTTGTATGGAGCCTACCATTCAGCAAGAGCCAAACATGGATCTGATGCTTAGGAATAGAAATATAAGTCCATACCAGCTCAGTCCATAAAGGCTTATGCCTATCCCCCTAAAGCCACTTTATATTCTGTGGAAGAGTTATAGTCTGCAGTGGGGTGCTATTACTGAAATCACTCTTAACTCTTAACCAACTTTTTTCCCAAATCCCAAGAGTAGCAAGAATCATGTTTAGGACTGATCCCAGGCACTTGAACCTTTAACTCCTTTAAGAGACTTAGTGTGTATCCATTTCACCTAAAGCACACCTTTTTTATACAATTAGTCTACTTGATTTCTGTTTCTTTAATTATTAAACTCACCCGTCCCATAATTATCTGTATAATTTCATATTTTTGTTATCCCAACATTTTCTTCCACTGTCTCTTTGAGGAAAGATTTTATGGTTCATACGGAGTATTACTCTTTACTTTTCACAAACTACAACCACTCGCATTCTATTTTGTTAAAAGTCATGTAAAGTCAACCTATGAAGAAAATTATGGAAACGAGAGAGTATTAATTAAAATAATTTTCATTACTTGTATTGTGGGTGTATGTGTGTTTGGATTCGGGCATTTGTGTAGATCAATAACACATTGTAAAATCTTTTATTCCATTTCCTGCAAGGCTGTCTTGCAATATATAAATTAATCCAAACCTTGCTCATTTTACAGGTTCTAGCGTCCAAAGCAATTCCCCTGTCATATATTGATCTTATCATAGGTAAAGATGGTGCAAATGTTGAAAACATACGAAAATCAAGTCGGGCTTCGGTGTACTTGAAACCATACACACTTAGAGAGGTGACTATTTGTATTGTTGGTGAGTCGTACGCGGATGTTGAAGCTGCTAAGTGTGCGATAGAGGTAAAACTGTGGAACGCATTATTTGATCAGCTTTGTATTTTAATTCTTCGTCTTACCTCCCCTCTAATTGTTGAGACTCCACTGCACTTGATACAAGTATTTGTGATTATCATTATTGTATCATTTTCCTCTAGGTGGTTCGACTGGATAAGAGGATGAACTCTATAGAATGAGAACAAAGGGTTTGTAACTTTAGTTGACACAGAGTGTTGTTTATATGCAGGATTTGATTCCAGAGGACCGAAAGAAAGATGGAAAACGTGTTTTTGCAGAAATGGTTCAGGAAGAAAGGCTAGTTTCGGGGCCTCATACATCAAGTTGGGAAAGGCCATATAAGAAATTGAGTGTCTTTTAATTACCCCATAGCTGTTTCTTGATGCCAAAGCCAACCAAATGACTATGCAAAGTTGATCCGTACTCTCTATTTCTTTTAAGCATTGATCTCCACTTGGTTTTGATTACTTACTCCGTATTTTGTTTGAGTAACTTTTGGCACCCCTAGACTTCACGGGCTCTTCAATTTAATTCATTATGCTTTTTTTTAAAAATAAATTACCCGGAGTAGATAAGACATTACTCCATCCGTCCCAATTTAAATCGCCTGTTTTGATTTTAAGTCATATTTAAGGAAAATAAAAAATAGAGTTGATTTTCTAAAATTGCCATTATTTTTTAGAAGGGGTGATGATGAATGAGAAGATAAGGTGAAGAAGAGTGACTTATTTTAGAGGTAGTTTAGGTATTTTATTTTTAAAAGTTTACGAAAACAACTAACAGGCAACTTATTTTGGGACGGAGAAAAAAGGCAAACAGACTATTTAAAATGGGACGGAGGGAGTATTATTGAACAAATAAAAGAACACAATTAAATTGAACAATTAAGGGAGTCAGGCTATGTAAAATAATAAAATTACCTAAATATCCTCGTTTGAATATTTATTAGATAAAATCAACAAAGAGAGAAGAAAATAAAGAAAACAAAAAAAATGAAAAATAGAAAAATAGAAAAAAACGAAAAAAAGGAAAAAAACAGACCGTCGGTTTGGAACCAAAGGAAGAAAAAAAACACCAGGTGCTTGGAATTAGAATTGGAATCACCGGCGCTAGAAAAAAAGGAAGAAAAAAAGTTCCACTGGCGCTAGAATTTGAAAAAAACAAAATTGGGATATGTGGATTGTAGAGATCTGTGTGGGAGAGTTGCAGCACTAGAGATGAAGAATTGAGCAGCAAAGGTTGAATCCGTTGAAGAAGAAGAGGTGATAAAGGAGAAGGGCAAAGAGGAAAAAAATAGTTTTACCGGAGTACCTTCTTTGACCCCCAATTCGGCAGTATCTCATTTTTCACTATTCAGAGGTAACGTTACCTCCTCCTACCTCCTCTTGCCTATCTTCCATTTCACTCCAAAAAAAAGTACTTCCTCCGTTCTATATCTTTCTTCCCGTTACGCAAAACGAAGAAAAATTCCAAATTTTTTCAATCTATTTTATTTAAGTATTGGTATAAAAATAAAAAATAAAACATACATATTTAAAAACTATATCAAAAGTTCAACAAAACAAGTGGTGACAAGAATATTTTATTTTATCATATAGGCCATGAAAAAACACAAATAAGTATAAATTCCCGTGAACTTGAAATAGTGCTCTGGGAAGAAAATTTTGTGACGAAGGGAATAACTTCTTAATTTGACCTTACCTTACCTCTCCTACCTCTAACCAAACATACTCACTCCGTCCCAAATTATTTGCCACATTTGTATTCCCGAGACAAAATATCAAGTTTTTTTTAATTCATTTTATTTACATATTGATATAGAAATAAAAAATAAAATTTACATATAAAAAAACTATTTGAAAAGTTCGTCGAAATAAGAGGTGTCAAGAATATTTTATTTTATCAAATAACCATTGAAAACGTCGAAATAAACAAAAGTTCCCGCGAAAAAGGGAATATGATGAATGTTTAGGGAGTGAGGGAGTAGCTTAGAAAAATTCGTCCTAATCCGTGCCAACCGCAAACATGGCCAAACACCACCGGCGTAATGCCTGCTCCTCCCCTCCAGCCAACTTCCGGCGAACACGCCGAAGCAGACGGCCAAAACCCACCGGAAAAACAACCCAACAAACCCACAAACCAAAATCAACCAATTCAACATCCAATAAAAAAACACCCAGTCAGCAGGGTATCAAAAAAACACCCAATCGAATTTAAAAAAAAAAACCTATCAGAGAGAATCCAACATCCAATAAAAAAAACACCCAATCAACGAATCACTTGGATTAATCCATGAAATTGAAATCAAAATCGAGAATCTTGAATTGGAGAACCGCCTCTACCACTGTGTTCCGTCGACACCGTGCGCGCCCAGAACTCGAAAACGGATTCGCGCTGCTGGCCTGGAATACCGATGCACCGATCGGACATCGGGATGAGAAACATGGTGATGCTGCAACCATCGCAGTATTCAAAGGTGGGCTTTGTCCAGAATCATGATCAATTAGGGCATCGCCGAACCAAATCCCAGGTATGACTCTTATAGGCGAAATTGAATAGGAGTAAATATTTATTCCTTTTTTTTTTCTCTTGTCTTTTATGTTGAGAATCAGTCATTTGATTTGTTTTACAACTTGGTCCGGAGTTTCTCCTCAATGAATTGTTTCATATATTTTCCTTGACAACAGTGGTTTGATTTAAGTTCATGGTAGAACATGATGTAACACTGGATTTTGTATGATTGCTCTTTACCTTAACTATTCTTATTTCCAACATATTACTAGATATAATATGCTGAAAATCTCCATTTTTATGATGTTATCGACAGTCCAGATAGGATATTGCTACATTAACCACCAACATTTGGACGACATCTTATTCATCGTCATTTTCTATGTGTAACTTATTGCAGGAAAGTTTGCCCCTAGAACTACCACCCGAGCAAAGACATTTGTTCCAGGCGTTGACCTCTAAAAAAAGAAAACTGTTCCAGGAGCTGAATTTGGATGATATCAATGATTCATCCACCAAAAAGAGAAAAGTACTCCGCGAGCTGAATGTGGAAGCACAGGGTATGCAATTTCAACATGTCTTACACTTTCACACGCACTAAAAAATTAACAATCCTTGCACATTTTTGTGTATGCATTTACATATCCATGTTAATTCATTTACACACACATCTTGTGGGTTTCTTATAAAGTTTATACAATTGACAGCTTCAAATGATGCCTTTTTGTGTTTGTGAAACACTAATGTAGTTCTTTGGTTTGTGCTTGTGAAACACTAATGTAGTTCATTGGTTGGTGATCATGAAAACTGTTTAGGGTGGACTGTTTTTAGGATGCTGGTTCCTGCAAAGGATGATGGTGTCATTAAAGGTTTCAATAGTCTCTTGAAGCCACGTTTTGAGAAGAACAATGTTGAGGTTGATTTCCAGTTTGTAGCTGGAGTTGGAATTGTACGTAAAGTCTGAATTATATCTGATGCCTTTCTACAACTTTCATGATTTTCTTATTGAGTTGTTTGTGATTGGGTGCTAAATTGGGAAGAAGGCGAGGCGGGGTTAGAGACTGAGAGTGATAGGCTTTTAGGACTAGACACAACATTCTCTTCTTTCTCTTTTGCTTTGCCAGCATCAACGCAATTGATGTTCCCATTGGACACGGTTGAATGTGGCAGAGCAGTCGACATGTTCTTATGGCTGGAAAAGGTTCATTATCTTTTGCTATTTGTCGGGGCTGGATTTTCTGTCTTCAAGCTCATCATTTTGATCCCTCACCCCTTCTTTTCCATGTCATGATCTTCAGTTGTTTTGTGTTTCCTCATTCCATTCGCCTTTTCCTTTTGAGGTGTTCCGTGGTTTTAATCCACTTATGCGTCGAAAGGTTCCCACTCCAAACACAGTTTCGTTGCATTTGTGGTGGTATGTTGGACAGACTTGTGAATGCTTCAACCTTTAACACTATGTTTGGTTCAAGGATTTTGGAAGGAAAAGAAAAGAAAAAGATTTTCTCTCATTTTCCTCACCAAAATAGGAGGAATTTGGTTTTCCCTTCACTTAGTACATTTGTCTTCTCATTTTCTTTTCCTTCAACTTTTCCTCTCCAACCAAACATGAAAAACTGTTTTCCACTTCATTTTCTTTTCTTTTCCCTTTCAAATTCCTTGAACCAAACATAGTGTAAATGTCACACAGACCTATGAATGCTCCATGCGATAATCCCAATATATGATCATGGATTTGTATAAACTCAATTTTTTTAATGCTAGTATCATGGACATTAATTGTTGCTAGAGAAAGTAGAATGAACATTTTTGTGATTAGTGTTCAGGTTGTGTGCTATAGTATCTAAAATTGTTTGTGTGTACTGCATAGGCTATGGTCTCGGCGAAAAATGACTCTAGGCACTCCACTACTCATGCTATTGATGTTTTTGACGAGGTTCACAAATATTTTTTGAGCACCATGCCTTGTCAGGAGTGTTGCTTAACAAGACTGCTTGTACCGGCTGCAAACGCAAAAAAGTTGATTATTTTCGACACTTTGAAGTCCTATCCATGCAATATTAATATCTATCTAACTGGTGTGTAATAACGTGGTGTGGAATGTTCTCTATTAGTATGTTATTGTTAACTTTGCTACTCATTGTATTCATTGTCGGTTATCTTAATGGTTGTGATACTCTATGTAGATAACATGTCAGTTTTTTCCCCTGGTGGTGTGATTGTTGATATTGAAGGGGAGAGCGAGGATGTACGTGAGGCAGCTCTGTTAATTCTTTCTGATCTGAGAGAGTTTGGAATTGATGAGAAAATGTTGTTGGAGTTTAAAGCTGGAGTAAGATTGAATGCAAAGTTCTATGAATATTGGACTACATTCTCTTGCTTATAGCCATTCATGTTGTTTATTCACATGGATTTTGCACAGGATGGTATTCGTCCGTCATCTTACGAAATATCTTCTTTTGGATTTGCATATCTAGGGCTGAGGGCTCCTAGAAGGCGTGAGGTTAGTACCCCTCAATTCCTGTAGAAATTGTTTTTTTTAGTTTGTCCCATTTGTTAATTAGTATATTAACAAAAAACCCAGTAAAATTTTTACAAAAAGCAGGGTCTGGAGAGGTGTGTGTGCAAACCTTACCACTCTACTTAGATCATTATTTAGTTTACTAAGAGGCAATTAATTCTTCAAAGACGTATTTTGAAATCCGTTAAATATATATACAAAAAAACCTCAATTTGTTTGTGGTCTGTTATACGGCAGTTCTCTCTTGCAATGTGTATAGTAGAATAATTCACACTTTACTCATTTTGCAGATTATACACTCAAGACGAATTCCCTTGTTGTATATCGACTATATCATGGGTAAAGACGGTGCAAATCTTGACAACATATTTAAATCAAGTCCAACCTCCGTTATCTTGAAAAAGTTCAGTCTTAAGGAGGTGCTCATTTATATTGTGGGCGAATCAGTCACTGAGGTTAAGGCTGCTGAGAAGGTGATGGAGGTACAATTATGTGTTTTATTATATTATTGGATCCACTTTGGGTTCTATTTTCCCATTTTACCCCCCGTGTTGGATTTCCTTTTCTATTATAGCCTTTAGCTAATTCTTGGCACATGAGGACATTATGCAGAAGCTCTCTGCCTTTAATAAAAGCAGTTTGTACCTGTGATGAATGATGGGAGGACCTCTTTGAGCCTATTGGCAACGATTTTTGAGATGGTCTTGTAAATAACATTGCAACAGGCAATGGGTCTGAAGTCCAGTGGGGATTTAGGGTTCTCTTTCTTGGTCTGAAGACCATTTTTGAGATGGTCTTGTAAATAACTGCAGTATTTCCCTTTCATCTTGAATACTTGTGATATGTTTTTGTATTCTCTTCTTTTTTTTAAATCATGCATGGAAAAATCTGATATTTTGGTCACCCTCTGTCACCCACTTGTGTTTAATCTGTTGTTTGTTAAGGAGGAACAGAGGTTTGGAACAAGGAAATTCTCTATGGACATTTCTTTCCTTCAAGAAATCCTCCTCAGTTTCGACAAAGACTTATTTGTGTATTTATATATTAATTTATTTGCAGGATTTGATTCCAGACAAAAAGAAAGGTGGGCTGCCTGTTTTTCAGCTCATGCTTTCCATGGACGTAGGCTTAGGTGGTGAGTTTTATTAACATAGTATTTACTTTGTGGGCATAAAACTAGTGTGTGTGGTGGGTGGGGGGAGGGGGTAGGCCTCAAAACTAATTTGATGTAATTTACTTCTTTTCTTGATGTATCACAATCTGCAATGTTGTGTTTTTTGATATTCAATCATCACTTTTTTTCGGATTGCATTTTGATCTACTTCATACTTCGTCAAATATTTGTCGTTGGTTGCGAGGCCCGGTGTTTTACGGGCTGGATTTGGCCTGTACACCAAGAATGTAAGCCGGATTGAAGAATGTAAGCTTTTGTGTGGCTCAGAGTATTCGTCCTCTTTGATTTTTTCGAGTCCAACTAAATGAACTTTAAAGCTTAATTAATTAAAAACTACAATGTATATTTGTATTAAAATAATTTTATTATATTTAGCTTGTTTAATTATTTCGTTATATTAATATGCAACACAAAATGAGAGTATGTTATACTACCTCCGTCCCACTCTCTTTGTCCACTTTTGACTTTTGGAACTGTTCATCTAAATACTTTGACTCATCAAATTCTCTCAAGGTGTAAGCCTAAATATAGTCATGTGTGATATGTGTGATCTTGTTTGATTATTAATATATAATTTCTATAATTTTTTAATATACAAATTACAAGATAAAATAAATTAAAGAAGTGCATTGGATGGTGTGCCAAAAGGTAAGTGGACAAAGAGAGTAGGACGGAGGGACTATGTGCGAAACATGCACTCATGTGGTGACACTCTAGCATGGCCCTACAATAATTTATTTTATTTTAATTTGTATCCAAATTACTTCAAACCAAACCGCTAATTTATTTTCCATTGTATTTTTGATTTTAGGAAAAAATAGAACCGCCTAAATTGAACACACCACTAAAATGAGATAGACTCGAGGGCACACACCTAACCACTGCACAATAAACTAAGGGAGCAAACTTATACGGTGTATATAGATAGAGCATTTCTTCTACGTCTATCTTATCCTTACAAAATAATTTTAAGAAAATGAGTGATTTTCGTACCAATACATAATTTTTATGTACATAAAATTGTAAGAGTCGGTGCAGAAAATTTTAGGAGTGGAAGCCATGAGGGTGTTATTATCTCTGTCTCAGTGTTTTTTCTAGTTAATTTTTTTAAAAATAAATTAGATGGATGTTAAGTCTCAATAAAATTGAAATGGTAATGATTTTAGTTGATTTATCTTGCTGAAACTTTTTTAAAATTTAATTTTATTGTATTAGTTTATAATACAAATTTAAAGTAATTAATTGCTAAAATCAACTAATTTGATTAAAAAAGTCAGTCTTACAAATATACGGAGTATAATAATATGACCAAAAGAGTACACAATGGTTTGGCCGTGTGTTTCTACCAAACCCATGTACAAGACTTTTCGGTAGCTTCACGTAGAATAGAAGCCCGGAAAGCTCTAATAAATCCCACCGGACACAAAAACTGAAATCATNCCCCCTCAAAATCACAAGACCTAACTAATAATTTATACTCCGGTATTTCGTTTCTCGATAAGTTTTATTTTTTATTTGTTTTAGTTAACAGTTTGATAAAATAAAAGAAAAATTCACATAAATATTCCAAAAAGTTTGGATTTTACATTAAGGCTTCGAAATTCGATAATTTACACCACTACTCTTAGAAATTGTTTAATTTTATACCAATACTCCGGGTCACCAACTATGCAGAATATGTGGCACTTAAATGGAGACTGTAGATTATTAAGTATATATTGGTAACTACAGAGTGATAAAAAATTAATGTTTCGATAAAATAAAAATTTTTGAAGTAGATATTTCATAATCAAATTTATATTTGTTGGAAAGGTCTTTAAAATAAAAATTACACACTATATCAACTTTAAAATTATTTAATTTTTTACTCTTTTATCATATAGTAGTAGTAGACTAGTAGTAGTAGTTGGCCTCGTTCGATATTAGCGTTAGCATTTTGAAAAAATAGTGTTAGCATTTTCAAGGTTAATCTACACCGTTAAAATTTTATTCAAAGTGCTAACGTTAATTGAAAGCGCTATTCCCAAACCGTGTAAATAAAAATTGTGTGATTCTTATGTGGACTTTTTGTATCATTCATTCCTCATCAAGTGATGGACAAGTCTTACCTTTTCTCTCCACGCCGGGCCCCTCAAGTCACCATATGATTCACATGATCATGAGCTAGCCAAGTACAACATGGTGAATTGAGATCATTAGAGTCCTTGATAAGAAGAAGAGTTCAATTATATATCATGCATACTCTTACACCCATTTTATATCCCAAAAATTTGGAAATAAAGACTAAACTAATAGTAAACATTGAAAATATATGAATTTGAAAGTTTTATTTCTAAAATGAAACTTAAGAAAATGTATTTACAATGACAATAATCATGATTATATACATTATAAAAAAGTATTATGAAATGTCTAGTGTCACATTATCATATTGTGAACTCTTAATTAAAGAATATAAATATAAAAATTTTGTTTTAGTACTTAGATTTGCCTTGACACAAAATATAAATACAACACTCGCATCATTCTAATGTTGCACTTATATTTTGTGTGAAGATAAATTTTTTAGAAAAAATTATCCTAAATAATTCTAACTTTACCTAGTCTTTAAAAAATAATCTCACTTTTACTGAAATTTGAGAATTTTAAGTCAAAATTAAGTTACTAATAGCGAGTTAATAGAAATGGCTTGTTTTGCGCAACAAAATGAAAGTTAGGATTTTTCTTTTTGTTGAGCAAAACTTCCGTTTACCTGCCAGGCCATATAAGGTTAAAGTTGAGAGCTCAATTTTCACTAATTTTCATCCTTTCCATTCTCCACATGCTATATATATACATCCATGCGCCACACGCCTCGGACACATACTCCAACTACCTACCGAAAAAAATGGCAGCTTCTCTCTCCGTCGGCACTATGTGGAGCAGCACATCCTTCCCGGCGGCGGCGGCGGAAAGGAGCCGGAGCGCGGGCTCTCTCGTCGGAAAGGAGCAACCGGGAATCAACAAGCGGTCCTCCGTCGCGTACGGCGGAGCCGGAAGGCCGAGCCGCCTGATCGCCGCCGCGACGACCTACAAGGTGACGCTGGTGACTCCGAAGGGGAAGAAGGTGATCAAGTGCCCGAAGAACGAGTACATCCTGGATGCGGCGGAGGAACAGGGACTGGACCTGCCTTACACGTGCCGCGCCGGAGCTTGCTCCACCTGCGTCGGAAAGATCGTCTCCGGCAAGGTTGACCAGTCCGTCGGGACCTACCTCGACAGCGCTGAGATCAAGAAAGGATTCGTCCTCACCTGTATTGCTCGCCCCCTTTCTGATTGTGTCATTCAGACTCACAAGGAACATGAACTCCCTTAATTTCTTTTACTCGGGGTAATTTGGTCAAATAATTACTGTATTGTTGTTCTACTTAATTTTTCAATAATTGGTTTTCTTTGTTGTGTTTGTGTCTACAGAATAATACTATTACAATAATACCAATATTGATACTACTAGATTACTAGTAGTATCAACTTTGGTTGTACAATCTTTGTGTATATGTTTTTCGAAAAATGGCCAATTTGCTTGTTTAGATTCGGTTGAGATCTTTGTTTCTAAAGAGTGTCTTAATTCTTTGTTTCACCAATTTAAAGTTGACACAATACCCACCTCCCCCCTCATTTAACACAAACTAACCTTAGGAGTAGGTTATGGGAGTATATTTACATGGGTGTGGTGCGACTTTGAATTGATAGGACATGAAGTTAGGACAGAAATTTATGTGTGTTTAGATTCAATTATTTGAGATTACGGTTTCATTTGATTTGAGTTTTTGGAAGTAAAACATTCCCAAAACCCAAAAATATGTTATGTTCAATTCGAGGTATAATAACAACAAACAAGTAAAAATAATTCCAAATAACATTATCAAATGTCAAAATGGTGCAAACTGTCAATGATTTTCTTCGTTTTATAATAAATTTGACACTTGTTTTAAGGATGTCTCAAAATATTTTGTAATTTCTAGTGAGATCATCGAAACTCTCGCTAGATCATTCATTATCAAAGATTTACAAATAATATCGAAGTATATTTTTAGAGAAATCATGAAAATCATAACAAGAGAGTTAGTTTTTTAAGTCTTAATTTTATTTGAAATTTAAATTTTGATAATTAGAATATGAACTCTGAAACTTGAAGTCAGGAGTTGATAACTATCCTACCCTTTGAAGTTTGAACTCACGAGTCTAACAATTAGAATTGCAATAGTAATTTAACTCAAATCATGATATTGAATTTTGGAGTTTGATAGCCGAAATTTAAAGTCTGAAATTATCGATTAAAATTGAGCTTATTTTGATCCTTATATATATGTAATATGTGTGTCAAAAATAAATATGTGAAATGAGCATAGTTACTATTAAATATGAGAAAATATAAACTGTATGTTAAAAAGAAAAATATAATAATATGAAAGAAAAATTATTGATTGAATAAAATAAATAATGTGAATTTAGGAAAAAAATTGTTTTAATTTTGAATTTTTTTCCCTTCACCAGACGCTATATATCCATCCATACGCACTCAACAGCCACACGCCTCACACACACCACACACTCTCCAACAAACCAATCTTTCCCCAATCCGAAAAAAATGGCTTCTCTCTCCGGCGCTATGGTGACCACATCCTTCCTCTCAATGAAACCGGCGGCGGAAAGCACCCGGAGCGCGGTCTCTCTCGTCAGGAGGGAGCAATCGGGGATCAACAAGCTGTCCTCCGCGGCGTACGGCGGCGCCGGCAGGCTGAACCGCCTGATCTGCCTGTCCGCCGCCCCTCACAAGGTGAAGCTGGTGACTCCGGGCGGGACGAAGGAGATCAGCTGCCCGAGTGACCAGTACATCCTGGATGTGGCGGAGGAAGCAGGTATGGATCTTCCCTACTCGTGCCGCGCCGGAGCGTGCTCCTCCTGCCTCGGAAAGCTCGTCTCCGGCACGGTGGACCAGTCGGACGGGAGCTTCCTCGACGACGATCAGATCGGGGACGGATATGTCCTCACCTGTGTTGCTTACCCTACTTCTGACTGTGTCATTGAGACTCACAAGGAAGATGAACTTTAAACTTCCAATCCTTCATTTGATCGAATTATTGTTCTGTGTAATCTCTCAATTGATCTTCTTCTTCTCTTTTCGTGTATCATCCTTCTTTCAATGAAGGCCAACTTGTTTGTTTTAGATCCAATTATTTGAGATTATGGTGTTATTTGATCTGCGTTTTTGAAAGTTGAATCTCTGTCGGTTGTCAAGTATGGTTCCAATAACAGCTTTTGGAGGTTAGAGTTACTTGTATAGTTTTAAAAAATTAAGGTTAATTTAAGGCTTCAAAATTAATTTATATCATTAAAATTTTATATTTATTGATTTTTTCCCGGATTAATTCGTCTTTATTTAAAAAAGGAACACATGGAGTTATTATTAAGGCATGTTCTCATTTTTGGAACTAGAAACACTCGTGATGATATGAAAATAATTAATTGGTCCTTTATAACAAGAGAGTTTCTCTATTTAGTCCTCTATTATCAAATATTACCCAAGTGGTTCTTTTTTTATGGATACCTTTCCACAAATAGTCCTCTTTTTGATCTTCTATCATGTTGGTGTTAATTTAAGGGCTAAATGTGTAATTTCACAATGACAATATATATTTTTTGTCATACACAATTCCAAAGGCTATTCCGTTTGCGTCGTTTGTGAATTACAGTCGTTTTTTACGACAACTATAGTCTACAAATGTGATCTTTCGTCAGAATCCTATCCCACAATCATAGTCATTATTTTTGTGTTATCCGCTTAACCAATATCAGAACACGTCACTAGACATAATGTTGACGTCAAATTATACTTTTAGCCTTTAAATTAACACCAACACGGCAAAAGATCAAAAAAAGGACCATTTGTGGAAAAGTACCCTTAAAAAAAGGACTACGGGGGGTATATTTGACAATAGAGGACTAAATATGGAAACCCCCTGTTATAAAGGACCAGTTATGGAATTTACTCAAAATAATTCCAAGCAATAATTTATTTTTAAGAGCAATTCACAAATAGATAGTCATAAATTTTATAAATTTATTATGTATGGTTTAAATTCTCATAAATAGTAAATTTATGAAATTGTGACCATTGTGTTTGTGTTCTAGTAAAACTAGTATACTACTAAGAAATAAAATAAATATTTCGTATATACAAAGTGATCCTTCACTATTGGTATTTCAAGTTTTAAAAGTTCATAAATAGTCCTTTAACATTATGAGTAATGCATAATTAGTCTTTCAAATTTCATAAGTCCATAAATAATCCTTCAAATACACGTCGGCCTTACAGATGATGTCCTTTTGACGATAAACGTTAAAAGCTAAATAAAGTACTAGCTCCATATAATATGGAGTTGTCGTACCTAGTGCAAATTACTCGTATTATATGGAACTAGTATTTCATTTAGTGCTTAATGTTTACTATCAAAATGAATTCAATTGGAGGGCTGACATGTACTTTACTTATGAACTTTTGAAACTTGAGAACAAATTGTGCACAAACTCATAAAGTTAAAGGACTATTCATAGACTTTAGAAATTTGAAGGACCAATCGTGCATAACTCATAAAATTGAAGGACCAATGGTGGATTTTAGCCATTAAAAAATAAATTTCACATATTAAAAAAGTACATAACAAAATCTTCAAAATAAAATGTGGGAAGAATGTTTTATTTTATTAAATAATCAATGAAATTTATAAACAAAGAAAAGTTTTAGTAATTTCTCAAAACTAAAGTGTGGAATAACTTGAATGATTTTTTTAATGAGGAAGGTTAAAATTACACCAACAAGGTTAAAGTTAGAGCATTCACAATGCAAGTAAGAAATAAAATGACACACGGTGACATGGAAAGTTTCAACCAATAAAAAATAGTCCAGTCAGCGTGTGGCATGAGAGTAGAGTGGCATGTCATGCAGTGGCAAGTCATTGTTTTTATCAATTTTACTTTTTTTACACATTTTAATTATTTAAATTTATTTTATTTATATTTTTTCAAATAAAAAAATAAAAATGTTTCAAAATTATTTAAATTATTTAAATTTATTTTATTTGTATTTTTATAAACTATACTCTTTTTAAAAATATTTCTTATTTAAAAAATAAAAGAATTAAGTTTTTTTCAAATTTTACATTTTTACATATTTCTGATTTTTACTAGAGTATTAAAAATAAATTAATTAGATTTTTTCCAAAAAATACTTTGATTCTACTTTTTAAAAATCATTTATTTTATGGATGAAAAAAAGAAGAAAATAGGGGATGATTGCCTCGCTCGTGACTTGCCAAGCATGGCAAATAGTAGCAGACTCGCAAGGCATTTTAGTGGCAAGGCTTATGTGGCAGGCGTGGCAGTGGCACAGCCACGCCACTGCTAGTGCTCTTATACCAAAACATTATTACACGAGTGGTGACACTTATTCAATTGAAGCACTTAGAGTGTTTCATTAGTGAAATTGACGTTTCCTAGTTCCCACCCTCTAACTTACCCTCTAAATCCTCTGCCCCAGTTTTCCCTCCATGCACCCACCCAGCCCCCAATCTTACCCACTCTCTTATTCCTCAAATTGGGAATGGGGTGAAGAGAGGAGGACTGGAGTAAGGCTTAGGGGCTGAGTTAAGGGATATAATCATATAAAGTGTCAATTGCTTAATTGAATTGGTACCACTTCAATTTTAGTTGATGTAACTCTAACCTCTCCTTTTAAAAAAACAGCGAAGAGGAAAATAAATAAAACTGTGGAGGACAGGAATGAACGTATGGTGAGTGGTGACTGGGAAGCGCTCTTGGCATGGCAAATTTCCCGCCAATCCTGGTCTCTTGCGGTCAATGCTCTTCCTCTCTCTCTCGCCTTCCCATTCCCTCAGCCTTCCGCTTATCGCATTTTCCAGGTAAGCATCCTACGCTCAATGAACGAAGAAATTGTATGAATTTATCTCTTATAGTTTTGTGTTTTCAATTTCGTCGTTTAGATGATGGTAATTAAATATGTTCGTAATCTGTGTATCGTGACGTGCAAATCTGAGAATTTATCGCACTTTCAATTATTTGATGTGCGAAATCAGAAGCGTTTCGAATGAAATTATCTGTTTCCAGGGTATGAATGTGCACAGATTTGTATATGGTGCAGCTATATTACCATAGTTCCGATGTTTTTGTGAATATGCAGAAGAATAATGCATTGATTTTTTTGATTGAAGAATGACTAGATTACAGTTCTCAGGGTCCTGAAATTCGATATTTGTAATTGAGGTTTTTTTTAATGGGGAAATTAGAACGGTTCGAATTGATTTTGTCTTTCTTTGTGAGGGCATTGCACAAATTTGTATATGATGTGGGGTGGCTATATTACTATAATTCTGAATGTGTAATTCACATGTGGGATTCGGTATGAAAGCCCACTAAACTGAAGCGAACAATTCGATCTTGGTAAGTCTCAACATTCAACAATGAGCACATGAATTCTATGATTGGTCTGCTTCAATGACCCATGATCTGTGTGGCATGCTAAGCTCTAACGAACCAGCCTATTATAAAGACACTCTGTATAAAACAGCATATAAGGAGCTTGACTATTATTGCTCATCAAGTTGACCTTTTAGTATGGAACCATAAGTCTTAATGGAGATTAGTTATTTCATGAATTTGATATTCAATGGATTGGGGTGGATGCCATTTCCATTTGCCTATTACCAATCCCAATTATTTGCATTTTCTCTATAATACCTTAATATATGTTGCAATTGAGGGAACTGCTGTATGTAAGAAAAATTGGAAATACATGAAAGTGACGACGGTGGACAAATGGGAATAGCAATAACAGATTGCTTAATTAGAACCATAAATTTTATGATTCTGAAACCCACATAGTTGAGTGTTGATAAGATGGAATTCTATTTGAAGAGGATTGAATGTGTGTGTGTGTGTTGTTATTCTACCTATGTGAATTTATAACCGATCTTCAAATGATACAGGATTTTTTGGACCAGAATCACAAGACTGAAATTTCAAGGTGTTCTCAAAGATTTGGATTCAAGCTGAATGGCTCATCATTGCAAGTAATCTGAAGAAATAGAACCACCATTAATGGTTCCTTTTGAACATATGTCATGGTGCTTGTTCTATACAGCTATGGCATACACTTGAACTGAACATCTTTTTGGGCCTCAAAGAAGAGATTCTACATATTGCGGAATTACTATTTGTTTGTTTTATCCAAGAGACACACTATAAGTAATGGAAATTCAACAGGCGCCACCTCAGCTATCCCGAGTTGGGGGTTTGCAAAAACAAACAAGTGCGCCTCCTTTGGAGCATGGCTTTGGTTTATTGGGATCTATGCTTTTACATGGAGAGTTAGACTTATGGATTATGGAAGCCAAATCCCTACCAAACATGGATCAAGTAAAAGGTTTAGCCCAATTCAATGATCGTGACACCAGTGATCCATACGTATCAGTATGCGTGTCCGGAGCAAGTATAGCTCGAACAGCTGTGATCCGAAATTGTGAAAACCCTTCATGGGATGAGCATTTTCGGGTGCCCATAGCTCATTCAGTCGAGAAAGTGGAGTTTCATGTAAAGGACAATGACGGTTTAGGGGCAGAAATGATTGGCTCCGTGGATATACCCGTAGATGATATCCTTGATGGGAATGAAGTAAATGGTTGGTTCCCCATCCTTGGATCTTCGGGCTCTCCCGTGAAAGCTGGAGCTGAATTGCATCTCTCTATTCATTATAGGCCCGTTGNAAACCTTTTTACCCATCATCAGAAGTGTGTTCTTGTTGACACTGAGGCTCCTGATTATTGTAGAAAAATTACAGCCTTTATTGGTGGCCTGGATTTGTGTGATGGCAGATATGACACCCCTGAGCATCGTATTCTTACTGATCTCGACACTATCTTTGAAAATGATATTCACAACCCTACATTTTCAGTGAGTATTTATTCATTTCTTATTAGGCATACAATTTCTGTTGTCTTTGGCTCCGTTTTGTAGGCTTATGTGTCTTTTTCAGTTATTCTTCTTATAAAGAGAACAAATGCAATAAGTAGCTTTGACATAGAGGATTCATGCATTTCAGCCAAACCCCATGGCCAAACAGTCTCTTAATGGAATTGTTATCTGAGACATGTGCAGGATTCCGTGTCTGGCCCAAGACAACCATGGCATGATCTACACTGTAAAATTGAGGGTCCTGCTGCATATGATGTACTGACTAACTTTGAACAAAGATATAGAAAATCCGCAAGACGAATGTATTTAAATATGAAAAAGATTAGGCATCGGAGTGCAGATGCTTTGCTGAATGTGAGACTAATTCCTTACATTAATCTCCCTTCTGCGGGCCCCGATGGCCAACATTGTGTACATGTAACTAGTGAAGATGATCCAGATAACTGGCATGTGCAGGTTACCAAACACTAATGATATCCTTCCAGTAAAAGATTGTTATGAGATTTGAAAAAATGATTGTTTGAATCAGGTAAATACTATTTACGTTCTTCTCAGGTGTTTAGATCAATTGATTCTGGATCTGTCAAGGGATTTCCAAAGGATGTTAAGGAAGCTGAGGCCCAGGTAAAAACTAAGCTCAATTATGACCAGTAATTTTATGTGTTGTAATTAGATTCAAATCTTTGTAGGCACTAGATACAGACCACGCACACAGACTATGCATTAATTGGTTAATACTCTGTAAAAAGTAGGGTTGGAGGTGCTTTGTTTCTGAAGTTGCCGAAGATGATCATTTTAGCCTTTTTTTTCATATACTATTTTTCTTTGTTAAGACTGCAAACATTTTAACACTCAGACCCCAATGAAATTGGGGATTATACTGGGTTTGCTGTTGCAATCATATAATTCAGCAATTTCAACAACTTTGTCAATACCAATCCGTCACAATTTCAGAAATTTCCACCTCATTCACCCTTACCGAACAGCCTCTTAGAAAATGATATTGAGATGGGTGCATTTTTATCCTTTCAACTTTTTGTGGCAGAATCTTGTCTGTGGAAAGGCTTTGCGAATAGATAGAAGCATACACATTGCATATGTGAATGCAATAAGATTTGCTCAACGCTTTGTTTACATAGAGAATCAGTATTTTATTGGCTCTTCGTATAACTGGTCCTCACACAGATATGCAGGTAAACTGTTTCAACTTAAAAGTCATTGTCTTTCTCGTTGTGAGTTGTGCCTGGTCATGTTTGGCAACCAGTTGTTGTTGGTTAGTTGTCCCAGCTCTGTTTGGGCAGTTGAACAAAAACACTTTAAAAAAAACTTTTGTAAGACAAAGAAGCTCTTTATTGAACACTTCTAATAGCTGTCATCTAGCTTAAAAGCATTTTTCACAACAAAAATAAAACCCCAAAAAATTCCTTACCAAATTTTATGTGTGTGAGTGCATGTGTCAAAGGGATATTCAATATTCCTGTGTAACGTTAGAATGATGGGCTGGCAGACGTGCATATGCAATTCGTGATGTTTCAAAATGCATTCATTTTGTAGGTGCTAACAATCTAGTGCCTATGGAAATAGCTTTGAATATTGCCAGTAAAATAGCAGCATATGAGGATTTTGCTGTGTATATTGTGATTCCAATGTGGCCTGAAGGCATCACTACCAGTTCTGCAGTCCAGGAAATTCTCTTTTGGCAGGTAGAATCATGGTTGCACAAGACTCCCATTAAGGCGCCCTCCCCTTAAAGTTCTTAAATTTCAAAATAAATCATACCCACTAAGGGGTGGTTTATCCAGACCTTAACCCTACTTTGGCTACTTAGAAAAGATAGACTGGTTTGAAAGACCCTTGGGCCTTGACTCAAGCACAAAAGGCATGGGTTGATACCCTTCGACAAGTAAAGGCAAATAACTCCAGGTAAACATAAAAAAGAGACCAGCAAACAAACACCCCACTAAACCTAGTTAATCTAGAAGGCCCTAAATAAGCAGAGAAGCATTCCTATCTAGACCTACCTAACAACTTTAGTCCTCGGCCTCCAACGCTCAAATTAACAATAAGAGTTCTAATTAGTGAGAGTACACTTTTTTTACAATTCTGGCAAGTCATGAAATCCTTATTACTCCCTCCGTCCCCAAATAAACTTCCTTTTTTGACTTTTTGAGGATTTAAGGGAGGGATATTTTTGTGTTGACTTTCCAAAAATACCCTTGATGTGATGTGTAAAAGTAAGATGTGATATGTAGATTATTATAAAAAAGGTATGATGTGATAGGTAGGGTAAGAAAAAGTAAGAGGTAAAAGGGGTTTTTTAAGGAAAAAGAGAAGTTTATTTGGGGACAAAGAAAAAACGAAAGGGGAAGTTTATTTGGGGACTGAGGGAGTATATTTTAAAACTTTTATATTTGAGGTGAACTAAATTTATCATATTGAACTTATTTCTAACTTTTTTTTTTGGAAAATTACATGAGATATTAGCTCCAGTTTAAATGAAATAGTGCTCTCTTTTTAGGACATGGAAAAAAAGTTTTGATGTAGGACTATTTGTTGGGATGGAGGGACTGATTATTCTGACTTATGTGTAGTTTATCAATAAAATTCTCAAAAAGCTTAGAGCATTAACCATTAAAATGCTGGATAGGGGCCCTAAAAGGGCCTAGGTGGCTAGAACCTAAAGAAGGTTGGTTTTTTAATTTAAGCAACACTGGCTAGTGACTGTAGTAGATGTGTAACAACAGTTGAGCTCGTAGTTCCTCTGTAATTTATAATTTTATCCTCACAATTATATTTTCTCTGTCCATTTTAATCTCATAGTCTTTGAGTACAAATTCAAATTATTATTCTTAAGTATTTAACATAAACAAAATTTTGTCATTTTGGATTGAAAAAATTTCGCAGCACCAAACAATGTCTATGATGTATAAAATCGTGGCACGGGCTCTTGAAAGTGCGGGCCTCTCTGAACGCCATCCTCAAGACTACTTGAACTTTTATTGCCTTGGTAAGCGAGAACCTGCTACCCCAGGAAGTGACAATGAACCTAGTACACCTCCACATGACCGTGCATTGGTAAGCAATTTCTCCACACACAATAAGAGTATGGATAAAGCTCATCTTAATTTAAAAGAATCTAGATTATTAAAATACCTGTTTGATATTATAATAACAATAATACTTCCATCCCAACAAAAAAGTTGTTTTTAATGTTGAAATCTGTGTTACAAACAAGTGGACAACTTTTTCTTTTGGGAAAACCAAACACAAGAAAATAACTTAACGAGCTTCTTTCCTTTCCCTAGAATTTTTTGCAACCCAAGCATACCATACATGAATGATTTAGCATTTTTTATTTGACAGAGATTAGGGCTCTACACATGTCTAAGTCATTAGTTACACCTGAATCCCGTCTTATGTTCTATCTATTTTATGCAGAGATTATCTCAAAAGTTCCGCAGATTTATGATCTATGTACATTCCAAAGGTATGATAGTTGATGATGAATATATCTTAATGGGTTCTGCAAATATCAACCAGAGATCTTTGAGTGGATCCAGAGACACAGAAATTGCTATGGGAGCTTATCAACCACATAAAACGTGGGCCACCAAGAAAAGCCTTCCACAAGGCCAGGTCTGAAATTTCAATCCCATCTCTTGTATTTGACTTCTTCATCTTTTTCATGCATTTGTGAGGCGCAATCTGGACAGAATTGTCCCAACCTTAATGTTACCCTCTATTTTTATGCAATGAAAACTTCTCCAGTTCTCTTACCTATGACACTAATCCTTGAAGTTAAACCACTCATTTGATTTCACTTGACTATCTCTAATGTCGAAAACAGTAAACCATGCATAAGAGCATAGTAAAAGATTAATTACAATCGATTAACTAGTTTAAACTCAAGAGTTTATAAACCCATGGATCTCTCCTAAAAAAACCACACTATAATTAGCTAGTCTTAGCCTCAATGCTTTATAAACAATTTTATCCCCCTTCTTTCAATGCGGGGTTTGTAACATTCTTTCTCAAGGGGAAAACCAAACCTTTTTTTCTAATCCAACCGGTTTGTCATTTTCCACTGGTCCATGAAAAGTTGGTCTCTCGTTCTACCTCTCTCAAGCGGTGCAACCCCTAAACACGGCCTGCTAGCCCAGTCAAATGAACTTTCTTTCTCCCACAATGTGTGCTTCATGTCTCTATGCTCTTACTTTGTCTCTGCTATTGTGATTACTTTGTGGTCCTTCTGTGTTTCAGTCAATGGGTATCCTCGAATAGGGGTAAGGTCTACGTATACCCAACCCTCCCCAGACCTTACTGTTGTGGGATTTTGATGGGTTTGTTGTTGTCTAACTCAAGACCTTACAAATATCTATTCATCTCTGATTCTCTTCACTCTTCAACCTCTCAATATGGGATGTATAACAACAAAGACTGATGCATACATGTATGCATGCAGGTCTATGGCTACAGAATGTCTCTGTGGGCCGAGCATCTAGGAGAGCTGGAGGCTTGCTTTCAAAAGCCACAGAGCATCAAATGTGTCAGGCGCGTGAACGAGATCGCCAGATACAACTGGAAAGCCTTTGTGGCAGATGAGTACCAAGATATGAGGGGGCATCTGATGCCATATCCGGTTCAGGTGAGCCGGTCCGGAGAGGTCACCTCTCTGCCCGGTTTTGAATGCTTCCCCGACGTCGGGGGAAGCATTCTCGGATCCTCCACTAATCTCCCAGATGCTCTCACTACATAAAGCACTTGAGGCTTGTAGAGACAATTGGAAATGATGGAAAATCACTCAATGAAAGGGCTAAGATATGTTCCTTCTTGCAGTTTTGTCAATATTTTAGGCTTTGTATATGATTCTCTTTTTTTTGTAGATTGTAATATACAAATATACTAATTAGCAGATCTCACTCACGTAACAGTGACATATTTATTCATTTTTTTTGGGTAAACTGTAAATAGTACGGAGTATTAGTAACCCAAGTGTAAACTTTACAATTATATTTGGTTAATGCTAAATTCGTCTCACCTTTGGTTATATTCACTCTTGTTTGTGTCAAACAAAAAACTCTACCCTTAATGCTTGATATGGAAAAAGAAGGAAGTGATGGGGCAAAAGTGTTTATTTCTTATAATATGCTGGTTCCATGGCCACTTTATAAATGGAGTAGATTTAGTCAATGAGTTTCTTTTCTGTGTAGCTCATTGGGTTCACAAGAGTTATTTTTTCCAATTAACTTATTTGAAGATTGGGCTGAAATTATATGAATAATTTTATGAAACAAAATATTACTCCTTCCGTCCCAATTTAAATCGCCTGTTTTGAATTTTGGGCATATTTAAGGAAAATAAAAAATAGAGTTGATTTTCTGAAATTGCCATTACTTTTTAAAAGGGGTGATGATGAATGAGAAGATAAGGTGAAGAAAAAGAGACTTATTTTAGGGGTAGTTTAGGTATTTTATTTTTAAAAATTTACGAAAACAACTTACAGGCAACTTATTTTGGGACGAAGAAAAAAGGCAAACAAGCAATTTAAAATGGGACGGAGGAAATACATGATTATATTATTTTATCAAAAGAAAATAACAAAAATAAGTAAAAAAAATGAATAAAAATTTCTTGTTTATTATTCATACAGTCAAACTTCATGCAATTTCCTTAATTGTGTTACTCATTTGATAAAATAATCGCAATTTCACTCCTTATTTTGTAGAGCTTTTGACATACTCCATATTTTTTAACTCCCATCATCTCAATTTAAATCACATATTTTAATTTACGGAGTATGATATTTGACTAAAGTAACTTTCAAATCATTTTATAAGAAAAATGATACTCCGTATAAAAATAAAAAATAAAATTTCATATTTAAAAACTACATCAAAAAATCTACAAAAGTAATAATGAAATGACTATTATTTTATCAAATGACTAACAAAAATAAAAAAAGCAAGTTAATGAAATTAACTCTGTAAATAGTAAACAAAAATTTTAATTTGGGACAAAGGTAATGTGTAATTTTTTTTAATTTTGCTACAATTTTCAAAGAAATTGTACTCCATTGAAAATAACATCAATCAAACATCGTAAAATGAAATTAGTCAAAGTATATTCAATGTCTAGCACAGTCAAAATACATCAGCAGAATCATGAAATGTTTAAGGTACGGAAAAATCAAGTTTGAGAGAGAATCTTCATTCCCCCTCAACGTCGACTTTACAACATACACATTTCACATTCCAATTTCCTAAAGACTAAACATAGAGAAAAAGGTAGAAGAAATCAAAGAAATAAATACACCAAGATTACACAACATTCCAAAATTTAAACACAGATTTCACATTTAGCCATAGGTGATTCTTTTACATCTCTATTTTCATCCCTTTTACAACAGCATTGAATTGTCGGGATCCGCCTACAAACCTGCAGGAATTAGACAGGATTATATGAAGATGAACAAAAGCAAGCAAAGACAAGTTGTAATAGTGTATAGCGAAGCAAGATATGGACCCAGAACTTTTTTTCCCGTGAGTGTGGAGTCAATCTTATGTCAAGAGGTTTGTTTAAGTCCGGAGTCTTGAGTGGTTAGTGTGGTTCAAGAGAACAGGTCGTGTATAGGCCTATTTAAGTTTAGAGGGACTTAATCGGTAAACTTTGTGTGAAATTCAATATTTTGACAACTGTGAGCAGCTTAGGGAGCGAAGAAAAGAAACAGTTGCAACAAGAACTTGCCATAGAAGTGCGAAATGCCATGAAATGTTTATAGGAAAAGAATAATGCCTGACGTTACGCAAATTGGAGACACTCCATCACACATAAGCAGGAAAGAATTTACAATCAGTGTTCTGAATAACCAACCTCACAGCCACCTTTTAGTCTTTTACCTCAGCAAGGTCAAGCAAATTGCAAGACTCCACGGACTTGTAGACGCTTGAGGAAAGGGGGAAAAGGAGGCTAAAGGTGATTAACACGATAGAAACAAGAGGCAATGTAGGGGAGGGCAACATGAGAAGGAAAAAAATAGACCATTGAGTGTTTAAAGTTAACTTTAATATCTGGAGTATATGAGTGTTTATGAACAATTATATCAATTGAGAAAAGAGAAGTGAGATGGTGTGAAGTATGATAAAGGTATCTTGGTAAGCTCAAACTATTGTCTTTATTATGAAAAGAAACATGAAGATCATTTTGGGATGGAGCAAAGAGCAGAACATGAAGATTAATTCAGGACGGAGGAGCAACAAAATGAATATTGAAGAAAGCTTATATGGAGATAAGCTATAGGGTTAACCTAGCTCAGATGTCATTCTACTCATTAGGTCTGGAGTATATTCCAGGAGATATGTTTGATAGTGTTCCCAGTGGAGAGGATATATTCAAGAACATTAACCACCATTGCTCATTAAATCACCTAGTAACAACTTGGAAGTGTAGGAAAGTGACTGAGAAAAATAACCACAAAATTAAAGGCATCTTTGTCTCTTTTACCTTAGACTTTGAAACTCAGTTCTGAAATGTGAAGTGGATACTATACGATTGGGATGAAAAAGTGGTATTAGTTGAGTGCACCATCCTGCACACAAAAATCTGAGGCTGGTACCACATGCAAGGATGAAAATGTAATTAACTTGTAAACATGACGAGAATGGAATAGCAAATGGTGATTTTGAAGCCATGGAAAAAGTAGCCAAATTTGCTCTCCAGGAAGTCATATGCCCTGTGTATAGTGAATGAGTTATTGAAATGCACAAGTGCAAAATGACCACATTCTAGTGCCTCATAATAAATTATCAAGCTATTCTAATAATAGTTAGGAATGTATAGTTTGCAAACAAAGATTTTCTGATCTCTGGGTAAGCTCCCCCCCCCCAAACCAACCAACCACCACCACCCAAAAATGTCACCTCATGTGCAGTTATGAAGTAAACATTGGGTGAACTGTAGATAGATATTCAAGGTTGTGCATGCTTGGTTGAAATGTAATGAAAAAATGGGTCATTTATTGCAATTCAAGATATGGTAAATGAATCAAAAGAGAATGGATAACAGAACATTCACCTTAATTTAAGGTGCTGAAAGTGGGATAGGCTTCACTGCACTTGTGATACGCCTAAACGCCGTTTTAACCCGTTCCTTGAGACTAGCATTTTCACTTTCAACGTCACCAGTTTGTCTGTCAAGTTCTGCTGTGTCCCCGTCAACATTTATAACAAGCTTTCCATCCTCCCTAATTTTAACATCACCGAACAGAGACACCAATAGTGTGTGAATAATTTTCTCCGTTTTCTTCACATCTTCCTCCATATTTATGTCAGGTTCCGATTCCACAAGCAATTTAGGCATTTCCTTGTTTGCATTTAGAACCAAAGCAACAACAGAGTCTGACACCATATCACTAATAGGATCTGCTGTCCAATGCACGGAAATATGATTCTCAGACTCCTGTTTAAGTACAACTCTATCATGAACCCGAAGTGTAGGAACTCCAGAATCCTCGTCAGTTGATGATTCCACACTCTCATATACTTGCCTGATCCTATGTCTGATCACAGCAAATGCACCAGAATATGGGATAGTAATTCTTTGATGTACATTTGCAGTCAAAAGTTGGGAGAAAATGTGGAGATCTTCAGGTGCCATGATTTGGTAAGTGAAGCCTTTTTTCACAAGTAACCCACTGACAGTTTCGCCGACATCAGGAGTTCTTTCTGCCAATTTTCCAATAGTTTTTGCCATCTTATCAGAGCTAAAGTACATTTCCACAGATTGGCAGTTCTTGGGGGTAATAATCTTGGTGTTTTGGTCAGTGAATAGGGTAGTGAGCTTCTGCTTAAGCCTTCCCATCTCATTAGCTTCTCCATGAACAAGAATTATATTAGGTGACCTTAGCTCTTGCAAGAATGTACTTGTCTGGATATAGTCTGCATGAGCTGAGAATGAAATATAATGAACCTGCATGTTGAGAGGAGCAGACAGTCCATTTGTAAGTGTCACCTCTTTTGGTTCATTTATAATTGTCTTTGCTAGTGTCCCTTCTACCACATAGCCGGGAATAACACATGCATTTCTCTTGTCAGAACACCACTTGTCAAAGAGCTGCCTTGACAACCCACTCTGAAGACTACCAGGACTTGCCATCACCACACAAGGGCCCGTATCCTGAAAACCCTCAATACTATTCAAAGGAGAAATGTGCTTGAAATCAAAAGGGTTTGAGCTTACAAACTGATTGCGAATCCTATCGTTCATGGAATTTATATAGGTTTGATAAACAGCCATACATCGTTTTGCAAGAGGAGACGCATAGTATATGGGGATCTTATGGAGCTCTTGATGGCTAGACCAATACTCATCCAATATAAGGAGAAGTTCTTGAGCCCGACCCAAAGCAAAAGCAGGGATTAGGACACGACCCCCTTGGTTGAGAGTTGAGTGTATGACATCAGTAAAACGTTTTTCTCGAATATGCCTGGGTTGGTGTTGTTGAACGCCGTACGTTGATTCAATAATACAAATATCTGGACAGCACTCAGGGAGCTCTGCAGCACGAAGATGTCTATCTTCTTCACGAGAGTAGTCTCCGGTATAAAGAACTCGAACTCCGGCAATGCTAACCATAAACATGGCTGCACCAAGAACATGACCAGCAGTGTAGCACCAAAAACGGATACCATTTACTTCCATTGTCTGATGGAAGTCAATCACCTGCATGATATTGAGAAAGAAAAAAGTTGCAATCTTTACGATTAAGTATATGAACTGCCGGTAGATACGTCTAGTTAAATATCTCTATTCTGATAGTTATCCTTACATGTTGGTTTGTAATGTTGACATGATGTGTTATGCAAGTATAGAATCTAGAAGATGAAAATTAATGACCCAAAGGTCCCAACATATATATTTTAAGGCCTTGTTTGGGAACAACTTAATTAGCGTTAGTGTTTTGGATAAATTTGTATAGATTAACATAGAAATCACGAAAGCTAAACGCTACCATTAGATAGCCTTTCCAAAATGCTAAACTTGTTTCCAAATGGGACCTAAGCATCCATTTTCTTACATCATGGTTGTAAAAGAAGAGGTCAACATGCAAGCATGTGACCGTGAACCACAAGTTCCCCCCCCCCCCCCCCCCCTGATATCTGGATTATACTCCCTTCAACACACTACTTAATCTTCCCATTTTCTTTTTTCAAGGCATTTAAGAGATGTGAAATTGTGTGGTTGAAATTTGTGTAGAGGAGAGGAATAATGTGAACCAAAAATTCTTTCATTAAAAGGAATTGTGAAGATTAATTAGGAACATCCAAAAAATGAAATTGGGAAGATAAAAAAGGGAAAGAGGGAGTAACATCTAAGATGGTTGAGTACTTCAGTTTAAGCTTATGATTCTGATAAATAAACACCTAAACTAAACGAGGAGTTGTGTGTGTGAGAACATACCTCAACTTTATACATTATATTTCCTAAGAGTAAGTAGTGTGGGGGGGGGGCAATAAAACATGTGCAAATAGAACACATACCTCAATTTTTTCCATAGATTTGTTTATGTGCGTTTCATCAAATAGCATGTCTTCAACAGAGACTTTGCTTACTTTAACAAAATCTGATAGTAGCAACTTATAAATTGCCTTTGTAGCATGGGTCATGAAAACTCGCCCTTTAAATGTAGTCTGATAAACAACATGTAGTATTAGCTAATGTAATTATTAGTGGACATATAATTATATATAATTGGCGAAGTGTTAAATACTCAATTAAAACAGAAGCTCATATACCTTTTCAAGAAAATATGGGAGGGAAGCAGCATGATCCAAATGAAAACTGCATGGACGGGAAAAAGTCAAGCATTGAAGGTAGAGTTAGCAAAATATGCAAAAACATTCATTTGGAAAAAAACATGAACAAGTAACAGAAACATCTAAATATACAGTTAACTAAGATGATAATTAATGATGGGACGATTTTGAAGTCATTAAATCAAATCCTGTGAATGTTCTCCCTTGTTTTATAAAAAATGTAACCATTTAGGTTACTAGAAAAATTCTTCAAGCCTGGGTAACCAATTGCATTGTGGAAGTAAACATTTCCGAGAAATTCACTTATAATCTCACATTAATGTTTTCAATAAGCTTAACACATTCGAACAAATGCGAAATGGTTAACTTATCAATGCAAACTCAATTAAAAGAAGCATAGAACAAATAAGATATCTATGACACTTAACTTGAAAAAACACACATATTAAGCATCTAGAAAAAAATGCAAAATGGGAAAATACCCTTTATCCACATTAACTAAAGTACAACAAACATATAAATGTAATGTGATCTTTCATGAGTTTCTCCAACTCATTCCTCGGCAGCACTGACATTTCTCCAACCAGACAATAAATCAATAGATGCTACCAAACAATACCACCAGAAATAGTTCAACATTAGATGAATGACAGAAGAAGCAGTACTGGGTGATTAAAAGGACATCAACAGTTGAAGGGTCAATTTCGTCAAAGTATGGCAAGGCGGCCATGCCAGAGTAAGCCGGATGAATCCCACAGTCAAACTGCCACAAAGCAACCAAGATTTGCAAATGAACTATCATCAGAATCAATAGATTAACAAGTGAAAAGATAAATCAGAATAGACGACGCCTAGTCCCTACCAGAACTGTTTTCCCTTTGTAAGACATGTATACGCATGACCGGCCCACTTCACTCCCGGCCCCTAGAGGAGTTATGATAAGCCGGTCTGCTTCTCTTGTTATTGCTGAATTAGGTCTCTTCGCCGACGATTGTGGCTGTCCGGTCGACGCCATTCTTCCCGGTGAGCTTGTCGAATGCAGAGCTCTTAGAACCCTAGAAACCTTTCCCGCCGGGTGCTCTGGGGGTTCATCATCCGCCCTTCAAACCTTCTATTTTAATTATAATTAGTTGAAGTACTCTAAAAAAATATTCTCTATATCCACAAATTAAATTTGAAATATGTTAAATGTCCCTCACCCCTTCCTTGTCCACAATAGTTGGCAAAAAATTCAAAAAATAAATCAATAAATAAAAATCAAATAAAGATGTGTGATGGGGAAGCATGTGGTATACAATTAGGGCCCCTAGCATTGCTCATTAAATTTTGTTTGTTATTCTGAGTTTTCAATAATTTTATTTTATTTTACATCTTGTTTTATAAAAATTTTAATGTACTCTTGAAACTATATATATATGTGTGTGTGTGTGTGTGCGCGCGCGCGTGTGTGTGTATAGCATAATACCCCGTAGTATTTATTATTTCTATGTAAATTTTTAAATAAAATAATTCAGAAAAACATAAAAATTTGCATGTTATTTGAAATGAAAAGTTAATTTATAGAATTAAGGTGTCTTTCCACAAACAATCTTTTTTTATTCTTTTATCATATTAATATTAATTTAAAGGCTAAAAATATAATTCATATCAACCGTATGTTAGTGACGTATTCTAATATTGGTTAGACGAATAACACACAAATAATGATTATGATTGTGGGCTAGGATTCCGAGAAAAGACTATATCTGTATACTTTGGTTGTAGTAGAAAACAACTCGAATTCACAAATGACGCATCAGGATCAGATTATGTCTTGTTTTGATTTTTTACAGTATACTCCATATTATTTTCGATCTTTGACTTGAGAATAAATAGAAATTTTATGATCTATTAATTAAATAAATATTTTTTTCTGAAAATATTACGGAGTATATAAATTAGATAAAATAAAATAATATTTCATATTAATATTTAATATTATTTCTATTTAATTAATAATCAAAATTTATCAATTTTAAATTATACTTAGTAAAAAGAAAAAAAGGAGATGAATAACCGGAATAATAGTATTTGAAAAAGTTGACAAATTTTTTGACGTATCATTCTTGTTTTTGACCCTCGCCCAATGGTCCCACGGTCATCACCACCGTTCAGAAAAATTCGACGCACAAAATATGAATTTCGCCCCTTTCTTATATGGAAGGAGTAGAGGAGGAAGAAGAGGAATTTATGGACTCCAGTTCAATAGGGTTTGAGGGTATTGGGTCATAGGGGGGGGGGAGATCGAGCAATGGGGAAGGGGAAGTTTTCGCTGCGGCGGAAGAAGAAAGGGGCGGGCGGGACGCCACCCAGACCGCCGCGCGCAGCGGAGCTTTCCTCCGGGAACGGCGGTGTCAAATCGATTGCTCCGAGTGTGGGTACGAGCAAGACAGTGAAGAAGAAGGCTGGTGGGTCAAGGCTGTGGATGCGGTTTGATACGATGGGGCAATCGGAGCTGATGGAGTGCGACAAGAATGCAATCATCAAGCGCGCCTCCATTCCTGCTAGGGATTTGAGGATTCTTGGTCCTATTTTCTCTCACTCCTCCAGTATCCTCGGTACCCTCTCCTCTCTTTGTATGTGTGCATTCAATGTGTTCGACATTTTGATTCACTGAGTGTTTGGTGTGGATTATGTTGAAATTTGGTATTTTTCTGCTCAATCAATCATATTATGTGGCAAAAGAATAACCGAGCAAAGACAATTCAACTAGAAGCAGATTTTCTTAGCTTATCACCTAGCCATGCAAAATCCAATAATCATGACAAAGAAGAAAAAAGGGGAAAAATCTAAAAATTTCAACCATGGATCTGCTTCAGAGGTCAAACCTCAAGGGCAGTAACTGAACCAAAACGTTTCTTTGACAACTCAATCTTTAAACATTTTTCAAGAAAATCACACAATCCTAATAGATTGAGGGTGGCCAAAATTGCTGTAGGTATAGATCAGAGCCAACACATCGTTTCCCTTCCCAACTCCTCTCACGTGCACTCTCAAGCACAATGAATTAGAAGAATTCTTATTGATTAATAATGCAGCCAGGGAAAAGGCAATGGTTATTAACTTGGAGTTCGTAAGAGCTATAATTACTGCTGAAGAACTATTGTTGCTCGATCCTCTACGACAAGAGGTTCTTCCATTTATTGATCAGCTGAGGCACCAATTGCCTCAAAAGAGTCATTCAAAGAGTTGTGGAACAAATGCTGTACAAGACGAGGACTTGCAATTCCCGAATGCTGGAAAATGGCTACCGGAAGCTGTTGAAAGAGGATTGCAGGCTGAACAACTTCCATTTGAGTTCCAAGTGCTGGAGGTTGCATTAGAAGTCGTGTGTATATATCTTGACTCTAGTGTGGCTGAACTTGAGAGAGATGCTTACCCTGTCCTCGATGAACTTGCCATGAGTGTTAGCACAAGGAACCTTGAACATGTTAGAAGTTTAAAAAGCAACCTTACCCGTTTGCTAGCACGTGTACAAAAGGTATGCTTTTTGTGACTCTTCTTTTCATTTCCCCCCATGAAAGTCACAGAAAGGAGGAAAACGGTAATGTAAGATATTTTGTGATTGTGACTGTTATGTTTTACTCCATATTTTGAAAAAGGCAAGAGAAAACATAATACGATTTTTATAGAATTATTTAGATTTTATACTTTATAGGCTTTATAGTTTATATATTTGACAAAAATATCTGGAGTCTTTTGGAAACCTCTCTGCCTTCTTGGAATGTGTATAAGGTCCGTGTACATTCTACCATCCCAAGACCCCAGTTGTGGTAGTATTTCACTGGGAAATGTTGTTGTTATGGTAGACAAAAATAAAAAATAAAAAAAAGAGTAGCAATAAGGATTTAAAAGAACTTTATTAAGATTTAGCTTATCTTTTATTTATCTACCAACATTTTTTTCCTTCCAATATCCATCTATGTTATCCTTCCTATTTTATTTCCGTAGTGGTTTACAGGTTCCCAAGTGACCCTAAATCTCAATCTTGCCTTTTTTACTTCTGAAACTTGCTAGTCTTCTACTTGACAATGATCAATCCAGAGAGCGGTGAGCTCAATTTGAGAGATAAGTGCCTGTTTTTATTTAGTTATTCACCTTTTTTTCTCCTTTTTGGAGTGAGCAACTCTACCTGATAGGAATGAGGTGTATGAAATTCTTCCATAGGAGTTCTCAATAGACAAGAAGTGCATTGTCATCGAGCTATTAGAATCACGATGGGCGTGAATATGTGGTGTGTTGTGGGCTTGTGGCAGTGCTGATTTGCTTTAGGGAGTGCTACTCCTCCCAAAGAAGAGCCCCAGTTCATGAAACGAAACTATTTTTTAATTTGATTTTTCAAAGAAAAGTGAACAGAAAGTAAAATATCAGACTTAGTTAAGTCTTTGAATATCTGAAAAGCAAGACTCTGTATTTTATATATATAATTAGTCATATCTCATTGTTTTCTTTTTCTATGACAAAGCTAAATACAAGTACTCAAGAAAATAATGTCATTGTCTCACATTAGCTTTGCATTAAATCTGTTGTGGTAATTGTGAGAAGTATTTCTGGTGGGTGTTAGGTGAGAGATGAAATCGAACACCTTTTGGATGATAATGAAGACATGGCCCAATTGTACTTAACTAGGAGGTTGATTCAGAGTCAACAGTCTGAAGCAGCTATGCTATTGGGAACTGCTACTACCACTACAGCTTCAAATGTCATAACTCCCATTGCTCCTAATTTCAGAAGGCTAAGTTCCACCAGGAGTGGAAGTATAGTTAGCAATTCCTTAAATGATGATGTGGAAGATCTTGAGATGATGTTGGAGGCTTACTTCATGCAGTTGGAAGGCACCCGCAATAAGATATTATCCGTAATTATCTTCTTTCTTTGACTTTAACATTATTCAGGCATTTTGTTTTGGGTAAATTAACAACCGTCCCAAATCGATCAATTTTACACTAAGGCTCTTACTAAAATCACACCATGGTTTCCATCTCATATTTCTCTTCTTTTGGGAAGCTTTCCATTCTTTTGGGCACTCTGTGTGTGATATTATCTTAACTATTTTGTATAATTCCAATTGCCAAATCACAGGTTCGTGAATACATAGATGACACAGAGGACTACGTCAACATCCAGCTAGACAATCAGCGGAATGAACTGATTCAGCTACAGCTGATATTGACCATTGCATCTTTTGCTATTGCCGTGGAGACCCTTGTTGCGGGTTGGTTCGGCATGAACATCCCTTGTTCCCTGTACAAAATCCAAGGGGTATTTTGGCCATTCGTGGGTGGTATGACAGCAGCTTGTATAGTTCTCTTCTTCGTCGTGTTAGGCTACGCCAGATGGAAAAAGCTACTTGGCTCATGATTCATTCCTTCACCTTCTACCCAAGCAAGATTCTGTGGTTTTTTCATGGGAAGTGTGTATTTATCCCCCCCAATTATTATATGAACAACTCTCATGTTCCCTATGTTGTTTTCTTTAAATAAAAATAGTTTCTGCAAAGTGATTTCATATTTCTATTAGACTTTGCACCCTATTCTGCCAGTGTGTTCAATAAAATAAAACACAGGTTATTGGATTTTTAGAGGAAAAGAAGAAGTAAAATTTAGGGATATATTTGAAGATGCTCAAAGACCAGCGAAGGACAAAGAGGACTATCAAGATATATCATACCAAGTACCAGCGCCACAAAAATACAACACGTGAAGGTTTGAGATAGGACTCCAAAAGACTATTTACTTTCTTGAGGTGATGATTCACACAAATCAAAAAAGTGGAGGACTTCATGATGGTAAATATTGTTTGGCCCGAATATCTCGGTTTGAATTTTCCAATTGATATTACCATAATTATCATCACCATACACTAGTCATAAATTATCTCTCCCACCATAAATATAGTCAACTCACTTTCCATAATTACATTCACCATTCACTCATTACTATTACTTATCTCCGTAACTACTCTCTCATCTCTCACTATAAAAGAAACCCTTCACCTTCAGTATGGAGAGGCCAATTTCCATATTCTCTTACACTACTATGTAATTATACTTTCTCACATTGCTTAAAAAGTACTCCTTACATTGTTTATTCTTTCTAGAGCTAAAACGTTTCAGAAATGGTTATAATGTCAAGATTGTGTACTATATACTATCTTCGATATTAATAAAATCTTCTCGTTGGCATGGTACCGCCGGAAAAGACTCGTAGTTTTCTCCCAATCAAGGTTTCCACGTCAAAACAGTTTGTTCATATTTTTGATAATTGTTAGACACGTTTATCATTTTGACGCATTAAAATGATAAAATCAATCAAAACAACTAACACCATACGAAACTGAGGAGAATACAAAAACTATTATAACTAATACGACTATTATTGTTACTTCCTTCGTCCCATTTTAAATTGTCTGTTTGCCTTTTTTCTCCGTTCCAAAATAAGTTGCCTGTTAGTTGTTTTCGAAAACTTTTAAAAATAAAATACCTAAACTACTCCTAAAATAAATCACATTTTTTCACTTTATCTTCTCATTCATCATCACCCCTCCTAAAAAATAATGTCAATTTTGTAAAATCATTTCTATTTTTTATTTTCCTTAAATATGCTCAAAAGTCAAAACAGACGATTTAAATTGGGACGGAGAGAGTATTATTATTGTTGTTGTTTAACAAAAACTACTTAACTTGTAAAAGACAACAATGTTTTTTCATAATTGGCTATCGAGGGGTCAATTCACATTGTTCACAATGATATTTTATTCAATTAATACATTTAAATTAACCAAAAAATTAATATTGCTCCCAATAAAAAAATAATTCAATTCCCCGTCCTCCCAATTAGTTAGAAGAAAATTCCAAGGTAGAAAAAATGAATAATTTAAAGTTACAATGAAATAATTTAAGAGTGAAAGAACGTAAAACTTACAAGAGAAAGTAAAATTTTAGGGACGGCTTGATATTCATATTTCGTATAAATTTTATTTTTTGAATGCTTGATATACATATTTCATATAAAATTTATTTTTTGTAACTTTATATTGATTTTAAAAAGAAGAGGAGCAATCTTACACCATTCATTTGGTGTAAGATAATGACAGCAAGTCAATTGGTTCGATCTCGAATGTGATGTTTTTACCACTCCAAGTGCGTATTTTCTCATTTTCAATTAACTTTTTTATTGAAATCTTAAATAAGTTAATTTGATGACTTACAATATGAATATTTATTTTTTTAGTCAAAACAAATGATGTAAGTCAAAAAAGACTCGTAACACAAAATGTGTATTATGGTCCTGTTTGGAAATAACGTTAGAAATTACGTTAGCGTTTTGAAAAGACCATCTACATTCAGCATTTAACGTTAGCGTTTTCAAAAAAATCCCCATCATTAAAACTTTGTCTAAAACGCTAACCCCAATCTCTAACGATATTCCCAAAAAGGCCATGTATACACTCCTTCCCTCTTTGTGTGTACTTTAATCTTTTCTTCTTCAAACATCTAAAAGTTCATTTTACATTTTCTATTTAAAAGTAAATACATTGAGGGTCGGTTTGGTACACGGAATTGATGGAATTGGAATTGAATTGGAATTAAAATTCCATGGAATTGAATTCACCAATTCCAATTCATCTTTTGCACTACCAATTCCAAATCTATAAAATTTTTGTACTACCAAACACGAGAATTAGAATTGAAGTCCTCAATTCCAATTCCATACTTTGAATTCTGTATACCAAACGGGGGAGATTTTAAATTATCTCCCAAGTTTCAAGTATACATTTTTTTTGTAATGAATATTTCAATTTTCAATTTTAATGAATACAGTATTTCACTTTTCAATATTTTAAATATCTTCATAAAGGTTAGGGGTTGTTTTACATTTTATAAGAATCTTAGGACTTGTATCAAAAAATCAATAAATTCGAAGAAGTTATCATTGCAATGACGGAAGGTAGCTCCATAAACAGAACGTCAACCAGAAGAAGAAGATCAAACGAAACAGAATCTGGAGAAAGGGAGAGATTATTTTCAATTTTGAAGAAGTGGAAGAAGCTAGAAACATAATTTAGCTTTCGGATTCAGTTTATAATTCATAATCCGCACCTTGTTTTCACAATTCAATCGTCTGGAGAGATCGCAATCGCAACAAGGTTAGCAATTTGTTTTCGTTTTTTTTTTTGAATAATCAAGCACCGAATCTCTGTTTTAGTTGCGTATGCGTTTCTGTATTCATAACTTTTCGGATGTTTTCGTTTTATCTATTCCAAATCCCTGTTTGATTGCGTCTGTGTTTCTCTGATTGTGATTTTTGAATGACTTTTGTATATGTTTTTCAATTCAGTTTGCTGTGATAATTTAGTACCGATGGAAGATTATGATTGATATTTGAAATTTATTTTTGAATATGAAATGGAGGCCTGTGCAAAGGAAGATGTCATTGTTCTTATTTGGTATTGCATTTTTGGATGACTTTAAGATTCTCTCCAGCTCTCTTTTGATTGCTGTAATTGAAATGATAGACATCTTGAAATTGATGAAATATGTATCCGTGTTTCTCTTCTTAATGTTATATATACGGAGTATATGCTTCTGCAATTGTTTTTTGGGGATGGGGCGGCGTGGTTTCTGAAATCTATTGTAGTCTCTCTAAATTCAATTAGTCACTATTTGCTGTGAATAAATAAATTTGACATTATCATATAATAGAGGATTACATGTCATATTATCGATGTCTCTCCGATGAAATCCCCATCTACGCACCCTAGACTTGGGCAATTCTGGGATGTTTGCTACAAAATTTCAACTATTAAATAAAATCTCGTGGGACATCTACACTTGTTTCTTCTCTTTGACATATACTCAGTAGTTTTTTTTTCCTTTTTGACATTTTTTGCAGAAATAAGTTTGTGTCTACCATGGCAAACTCCAAAGGTCCATCAAGAACCGTAGATGTATTGTGCAGTGGGAAGAATTCATTGCTTCCCCCTAAAAGTCCATACACCTCCATATCTCCATCTTATATTGAATATATTCCACCTATTATGCAAAAAGGCCTCCCAAAACCTAGAGAAGGAAATTCACACCACCAGCGTACTTCATCTGAAAGTTTTCTAATGGATGAGCAACCATCATGGCTGGATGATCTTCTTAATGAGCCGGACAGCCCTGTACATAAAGGAGGCCACCGCCGTTCATCTAGTGACTCGTTTGCATCCTTTGCAAACTCTGGTTACATAGTTCAAGGTCATAACAAGTTCCCAAACATGTTGCCCATCCCTTCATGGGGACCTCAATTTGATTACCATGGAGATGGTTATGGTTCAGGCTTACACAGGAGTAGGACAAAAGACATATCTCCTAATAAAATCACGCATCCCAGTGGCATTCCCTCACCTAGAGAAACTGTTGCTCATCAAAAGTCAGAATCTTCATATTCGCCACAAGAAAGCAATATGGGAAATGTAAATCTGGATGTTCTTGAATCTCACCCGAATGGAACAAATAGTTCTGTGGAAAATGAATCTTCTGAAGCAAAGATCTCTGCTTCGGAAACAGACATGAAACGTGCAAAACAGTACGTCTTGCAATATATTCTTAGTTATTTTTTCCCTGGTCTCTTGTTTGATGCATCGTTGTGTCTCATATATTAGTGGTTTTTGGTGCACAGTTTTTTCATTGTTTTTGATAGCTAATTAGAAGTGTGAATGTTTTCCACTTTTTTCCTACAACTATTAGGTCACCCCCACTTTTGTCCCAAAATTTTGTTTTTTTCACCAACTGGTGCCTGACTATGGATTATTGTCACCTTGATCCGTCTGGCCACTCATCTGCCCAAAATCAACTTGAAAATCACCCTATCGTTGTGAAAAACCTATGGATAACGTTGGTGTTTATAACCATAGTATCCTACAAGGTGCTGTATTTTTGAGACACACATGATTTCTAGTCGTTTTTAGCCATACCTGGCTAGAAAGACCAAAAACCATAAGAAATCAATACTCCACCAAAATGAAAAAAAAAATGTCAGACCCCCAAGATGGGGGGGGGGGGGTAATAGTTGTGAGGCCCAAAATGGAAATTTTATTTGGAGGACTGTCATAAGTCATACTATCTCACAATGCAGTTATATTGGTCAAGAATCTTCTTTTGTTGAAAAGATAATATAGTGGAACATTTGCAACAAGAGAAATATTTCACACTTCAATCAACCTAAGAGATTGCTATGTTATGCAGGCAGTTTGCTCAACGTTCACGAGTCCGAAAGCTGCAATACATAGCTGAGTTGGAAAGAATCGTCCACAGTCTACAGGCATGTGCAATTTAAGCTCAACAGGAGATTTTACTTGCATGTTGAGGGTTTCTATACACAGTGTTTCTGGTATTTCAAACTGTCATGTTGTTCCATTCTTTTTTTACAGGCAGGGGGTTTTGAAGCTTCAGCTCAGCTTGAATTTATGAACCAGCAAAATCTTATTTTAAGCATGGAGAATAAAGCTTTAAAGCAGCGTTTGGAAAGCTTAGCTCAAGAACATCTTATAAAGTATCGTAAGTTACTATTTTCACTAGTTCATTTCTT